GACCAGAGAAAGACCAAAGAGAGACCGAAGAGAGACCAGAGAGAGACCAGAGAAAGACCAAAAGAGAGACCAGAGAAAGACCAAAGAGAGACCGAAGAGAGACCAGAGAGAGACCAGAGAGAGACCAAAGAGAGACCAGAGAGAGACCAGAGAGAGACCGAAGAGAGACCAGAGAGAGACCAGAGAGAGACCAGAGAGAGACCAAATAGAGACCAAAGAGAGACCAGAGAGAGATCAGAGAGAGTCACTTAGTACACACTGTAGTCAGCAGTAGGAGGTAATTACTGATGTTTATATTGTGATTTAGCAGCGGAGAAAATGATGAGATAAACAATAGTAATCATAGCAGCGGGTAAAGTGATGAGTGAATTATCAGGTGAATGGCACTTGTACTGGCTCAGGAGTTCTCGTTGTACAGTCTGACAGCGGCAGGAAGGAAATACCTGCAGGACCTTTCCTTCATACAGTGAGGGTGGATCAGTCTGTCTCTGAAGCTGCTCTTTGTTCACTATGATCCTATCCTATTTCTTCCAAAACACATCTGTCTGAGAACCCTTTGGACTCTACGTGAAGCTGAGCCCCTGTAGTTTTGGCCTCTGATTACTCATACACTATACTGGGAACAGTCTCTGCACAAGATAAATAGAACAAACTATGAGAGAGTGATTATAGCTATACGGCTATTTGTTTGAAGCAGAAAGTGAAGCCATAGAAGGCGGGTGTTGTGCATGATCAAAAGTTCTAATGACCAATACAAATGACTGAGGTTTATTCCGAAAATACAAAAGTTCTAATACAAAACATCTTTTTCTAATTTACTTATTTCTAATCAGGACCTACCTCAGAGAAATTCACACAAAAGACTTAAATACATGATCAGGATCCAGTCTCTGCCCCCTCCACGTCTGGCACTGAAGAGTCCCAGAAGGCCGCTCCCTGTGTCTGAGGCATCACCCGGCCAGACACAATCCATCACAAGCTTCAAAGGGTTAAATTTCACTGATTCATTGTAAAGCAAGTGCACTATATAATGTGGATGGAGAAAGGAGTATATTTTAATAAGCAAAGATACATTTGTGGTTAAACATAAAACTTGGTAAAACACAACTGAGTATAATCTAAATATTTGATGTAAAGCATTCCTATATAGTATTATACGATGAATACATGATTTTCATACAGTGTTTATGGTCCATAACGGACGCATCACGGGTGCACATGTGACGCTGGAGTCTCAGAGCCCAGTCCATTTTCAGTGAAATCGAGGGACCAGTGTTGACGCTAAGGATGCAAGAGGAATACATGTAAAAGTCCCTGGAGTTTGGAAGAGATTTTAACGGTGAGCTTTGAGATCATGGTCCTGATTCATCACAGAAAGTTTGATTTGACTAGAAATAGTGTCATTATGTTAATGAAAATATATTTATCTTAATAGTTCCCATTTCTATCCCAGAATTATGCTTATTGATTGGCAAAAAAGGTATGCATTTTAGTATTGCAGAGTGTTAAATACACCTCACGGTTTGAGGTAAAATAGTCTTAATACATGAAAATACAAGGACAGTGATTACAGTAACGTTACAATTATTGTGTCAGTGCCCTCTCAGTACAAAGTAAAGAGCTCCTGCATCTGCTGATACTGCTATGATACAAGTGGAACAAAACAGTTCAAGCCTGCCTCCTTCAGGTCAACAGCAGAACTGCAGCTTTCTAAGAAGACACATGATTGTTTGAACGACACTTTTAAATATTGAATGCTATTTGCTTGGACCACTGCCCTGCGCCCTGGTCCTGATCCTGTTCTTGGTTCATTTCCTAGTCCTGGTTTGTTCCAGTTTGTTCTGTGAGATTTTCTGCCTCATTTGCCTCAAAACTCAGCTACATGTGGCTCATTTCTCCCATCATGCTTTGCTGCTGTTTGGAAACAGCAGCAAAGTCTTGGTTTCCCTGCACAGCCACTAATCAGTTGAACTCAAGCTATACTCAAGCTCCTTTCTGGGTCTCAGAAAGGAGGAAGGCAAAAGAACCTGGGATTACTCCAAAATTGTTGAAGATGGGCTTGTAGAGCAATGTGGTGTATTCAATTAAATGTAGTGAAGAGGAGTGCACTGACCACTGTATTGCAGAAACTAAACAAACTCTGCAGAAACGACTTCACCAACATCGTAGAGAAAACTCTAGTGGACCACAGTCGGCTGTTCATCTCCACCTCAAGGCCTCCAACCACACCGTGGTTATAATTCTGGCTCGAGACAAAAATTGGTTTGAGAGAGGGGTGAAAGAAGCCATTTTTGTGAGGAAACACGAACCTTCTCTTAACAGAGGAGGAGGGTTAAGATTTGTTTTGCCTCGCATCTATGACGACGTCCTAAAAACAACGCCCTAACTATAGATCGGTCAGTGACGTTCCAATGAGTAAGGAGTGGTTAGACCTGCACTCCACTCGAGCAATCTCAGCAGACAATAGGTCTGTGACATGCTAATGAGTTAGGACCGCTAGCCTTAGCACATTATGAGTTAGCCTCAGGATTAGGGTGTGGCTAACCACACCCATAGTTATAAATCTCCAATGCGCAGTCTGAGATTTCATTCCCTTGAAAAAAGTCTTTGGATTAAGGATGAAACTTTGGGAAAACCTGCTACGAAGTACAGATGATGGGTGAGAAACCTTCCTTTGCGAAGATGGGCTTGTTCACACTAAAGGGTACAGAAGTAAGACAAAAGGCCAAATAATAGATTTTAAAAGATATATTATGTTTTTCATTTATCCATCATCATTTACTGTATCTCTGTACTTTCTGTACCTTGGTCATAGCTGGTAGCCAAGGTACAGAAAGTACAGAGGATCCAATGGATGACCAGTGGGGGCGGTCCCGGCTGGTCCACGTGCGCTGACATACTTGCAATACCACACCGGGCCGTTGGCAGTGGACCCGGAATAAGAATTATTCAATGCAAATGTGCATATCTTCTTACCTCTCGAAAATGTCTGTACAGGATGGTCCAAAAGTCGGTTCTTGGCTCAAAGCTGTGTATTTTTTTGGACCAGTCTAGTTTGGTGTGAAATTTTGAAGGCACTCGTCAAGTGAATGGGGCTTGTGCCGGCTGACGCATGCGCAAATGCGTTTTTTCACATTTTCCGGACCCCCCGGCTATTTTGAAACTGCTCATAGATGGCAGAAGTGGTGGCATATTAGTTAGAACGGCGGAGATAGGCGTAACTATGTCCATTGATATTTACAGTCGATGTGGACACCTCAATCTTCTGCAAGTCCCTCTGCAGCTGGAGTCCATAGAACCCCTCTTTCTGGGACACTGACAGCAGCTAAAATCTGCATATGTCTGGAACAGTCTTCCTGAAAATGAGAGACAGGCTTCTTCTCTGACAATTTTCAAATCCAGGTTAAAACAGTTATTAATTCCACCTTGTGTGATTGTTTCTATCTTGTTTTGTTCAGCACTTTGAGTTCCCTTGTGTATGAACTGTGCTATCCAATCAAACTTGCCTTGCCGTGCCAAAATGTATTACACATACAACATCCCAGAACACATTAAGATGGATGAAATTAATACAGGAATCAATACAATACAATACAATTTATTCTTGTATAGCCATAGGTCACAACAGAAGTCATCTCAGAGGACTTAATAAAACCATTGAAATCACCAACACAGGTCAGAGAATCAACAGTTAAAACACATGAAGAATATAAAGCACACACAGAAGAAAATGTCCATACATGTTGTAGAATGCTAAAGTGTCCTGATCATCACCAATCCTTTCTGTTGGACACTAACTGTCCAACAAGACCCTCCTGCATCGACAAGGAAAAACTCTTAAAAAACCCAGTGGGAAAAAGTGAGAAACCTTGGGGAGAATTAGGGAAACCCACAGGGAGGGAGACCCATTTGAGAAAGGGATGCGCTCCTCCGGACGGACAGGCTAATGATCTAGGACCAAAGCTAGCTACAGAACGTGGACCAGTGGCCGCTGAACGTGGACAGGTCCGGTGCAGGACTGAAGCACTCCCAGGCGGGTCGGGCAGGGCAGTCTGCAGGTGCAGATGGAGGAGGCCAGGCTCAGAGATCCCGTCATCGTACCATGAAACAGACAATCGGACAACGGGTGAATAGCAGGAGTCACAGTCTGGAGTCACAGTCTGCCTCATAAACAGTTGTATCAGTTTGTCCTCTTCCTTGTGTCTGTCCCCAACAGGAGAACAGCAGGAGACAAAAGAGACAGAGGGACACAGTATATTTCTGCACTGTTTGTGAGTCGAGTCACATTGAAGAGTTTGTCAGCAGATCTCTGCCCTTCAGTCCAAACTCTGGGGACATTAACATAAAAAGTCTGAGTCAACACCATTTAAACACATTTATTTCTGAACTGCTGCAGTCTCCTTTGTCTTTAAGGTGTGACCTCATAACAAACTTTGTTTATCATTTAATTAGTCGCCTTGAATGTTGTAAAGGGCTCTATAAATAAATCTAGATAGATCTTTTATTTATATAATAATGCATGTTTTATAATAATGCTTATTTGGACATTTAAAGATGCTTCACATGTCATAGTTCTTTGACTCCAAACACAGTGGTGATAAACTGCTACTGTAGTAGTTGCAGAAGCTTGATCAAATAGGGATTAGATCAGAAACCGTAACAGTGCGAGGTACGAGGTCACTCTAAGATGTAGGTTTGGTATGGATCACGAGAAGAAGGTGGAAGGAAGTACTTTCTCTGAATTTGGATGCGGCCACAGACAAGCTGCAGTTCCCTTCTCTGGCAGCAGGTGGCGCTGTCTCTGTCGCCTCTGATCTATTGTTTCCGGGACTAAACTCCGGCCCGCGGACGTAAACACAGCGGGATAAACACGTGTTAAGTGAGCTCCAGTGTCCGGTGTGTGCTCCCGAGCCTCCCTGAGCCCTGTCACTAACCGCATGAGCTCTCCCCGGGGGAATCTGCTCTGCCTCTGGTTCTGCCTCTGGTTCTGCCTCTGGTCCATGCTTGTGTCGCGGATCGGAGCCGCTGCTGCGTGGGGCGGCTGCAGGAGAAGGTCATTGCTGCTAGCTTCACCGCAACAACACCGCTCCCTGTGACCATACCATAGATCTATAACAGCCATTCCCAAACTCAGTAACACCGAGGCCCCCTTAAAAATCTGACGGGTCTGCGTGGCCCCCCAAAATAATAACCAAGAAGACAACATTAAGAATAGGCTCTTCTGGTTATTTTATTTTGGGGAAATAGCCTCTGCTACAAACATTGTAATACAAAAATGATTACAGTGGATTATTCAAGTCAAATAATGAACACAAATATTTTAATATTACAAACAAAACATTATAAATTTGACATTAAATAATTATATATATATATATTTTTTTTTATGACCTCCCGCGGCCCCCCTGCAGTACCCTCGCGGCCCACCAGGGGGCCGCGGACCCCACTTTGGGAGACACTGATCTATAACAATAACCATACATGTGACCCACTTAGCATCACGCTGTTTGTATTATTATCCAAGTTAGCTCCATGTTTAGGTTTGTTTACACCCTCTGACAATCTCTTTATAAGTCTTGTCTGCCCACACCACACTATGCTAGCATTCTGAATGATAATCGATTAGTTGGCCGATTATTCTTTCGTTTAGCTTCTTGTTTGAACCCGTCGAAGAAATTATTATAAAAGTAAATTGGACCAAAAAAACAATTTAAGCGATGCTATTTAAATATGAGTATCATGGACAATTCCTTGGTGACCATAGCTTCCAGCAGCACTCTGTCCTATCACTGTTAGTATCAGATGGGACCCGAACCAAGAGGGAGAAGGACCTGGTACTGGTTACGCAGGACCAGTGGAAACACTCACAATCAGGCTATACAGAGATGCGTTATACTTGGTTGTTTGATGAAATAAACGATTCCATTTCCATTGATTGAACCATACCTGGACCAAAACATGCAAAGAAGAGGTTTTATGACTATGACCTCATCCTAGCATCCTAATTTTTATTGCCATGTAAGTAACAGGAAGTCACATACTAGGACATTGCTTTGGCTATATTATGATATAAAATCCGTTATTTGTGGTACATTTTGCGTGGTCTCTCTCTAGTCTCCCTTTAGCCATCAGTGCTGCTCTAGTGTATGTCCTGATCATTTATATTATGAATGAACTATTGACCTCCTGGTGAATTCCTTGTTTCCTCGTCTTGGCTTAACTCCTGTTGTGTGTGTGGTTGTAGTTTGGTGGGAGTAGAGACTTAATCCAGGATTAGTCTGCTCTCTGTCTTTTTCTCTGGAAACTTCACGTCTTCTGCAGCAGCCACGCACTTCAAACATGAACTTCTCAAACGGACTCTTTGTCTTCCAGATCTTTTTCACCGTGTTTGTTTGCTTTGCTTCTTGCGATGTCTTCACTTTCATAAGGTTAATGCATGATGCCCATAGTCTCTCCATTGTCTGTTCGGGGGTTTCTCAGAGAACCTGGGTCTGATTGAATTTCTTCTGTGGTTTTTTTAGAATGGGAAATTTTACCTCATCCACAAGGGGGACCACCACAGCGTGTGTGCAGTATGTCCAGGTAACTCGAATCTAAAACACTTTTGTTTCTATGTTACATCCATGACCTGGAGTCTAATGTTAGAGACCTCTAGCTCAAAGAAGCACAAATGTATACACATAGCCCGCCTTTTCTGTTAAAAAACTTTGGTCTCTCTGTGGTCTCTCTCGCTGGTCTCTCTCTCTCTCTGGTTCATTTGGTCTTTCTCTGCTCTCTCCCTCTCTGTTGTTTGTCTCTCTCTCTCTGGGCTCTTGCGCTTTGGTCTCTCGCTCTGTGGTCTTTCTCTGGTCTCTCTCTCTGTGGTCTCTAAAACTGAAGTTATGGGAATAAGATAAGATTGTGCAAAATACAGAATTACCTTGTGCCTTGAATTATATTTATATATATTTTTTCTAAAATAGTAAATGCAGTTTGACTTTTATTGCTATATTTTTGGGGCTGGGAAGTGGCCAAAATGTGAGGATTCAATATGTATGGGGATATTTGGGCCACAATTCAATACTATTGTGATTCACAACATAATTCAGCATTGTGATTATTATATATATATATATATATATATATATATTATACATATACACACTGCATGTATTGCAATTCATGTCCCTCTTTATAGTCAATAACATTACAAAAATGGAGGAGAATAAGACTCTTATTGTTTATGGTCTGGACGAGAACTGAAGCTGACACTTAGGAGGGTAGTACAAAAACACTATCCTTGAACATTCAGGAAACAAGACCTTATAATAGACAAGACATCATTGTTCTCTGAATAGACGACTCTCGCATGAATGGTGAGCCCCCAGACCAGAGTCACATTAGGCAGACATGGGGGAACAGAAACTCAGAGAAAACACTTAAGTGAAACAGATCATTATTTAATTCAATATTACAATACATTGCTCTACTGTGTGTTTGCAGGAGGTGGTCTCTCAGAACTGTGTGGTGATCTTCTCAAAGACCACGTGTCCGTACTGTCGAATGGCCAAAAGTGTCTTTAACGAGATCGGAGCTAGTTACAAAGTGATCGAACTGGACGAACACAATGACGGCAGGAGGCTGCAGGAGGCTCTGGCCCAGATGACCGGAGCACGGACTGTAAGAACCTCTACAAGACACATCCATCTAGCTCTCGTACAGTTACATTTAGGGCTGCTGGATTCTGGGAATTTTCAAAGATGGAAACTTTCCATAAGAAGCGGCTGAACAATGTCTATAAATGTCGTTGAATATCATGTCCTGGATCATCTCGATTGTCCTCAGACCCTCCTGCTCTACTTCCACTCATTCCCTTTTATTTTCTTCCTCTCAGGTTCCCAGAGTCTTCATCAACGGGAACTGCATTGGTGGTGGTTCCGACACCAAACAGCTGCATCAACAGGGGAAGCTGCTGCCAATGATCGAGAAGTGCGCCCCCTGCTGTTCCAGCGGAGAAGGCTCCGGCAGCGGACACTTCGAGGCGGCTAAATGACTAACCGTTCTGCTGCTGCTTCTTAACCCAGTTTTTATACAACACACAGTGCAGGTTCTTTTGCTGCTGATTAATTATTTAAGGACTTATTGTACATTTTGTCTCACACAACTGTTTCTCCATATTTTAAATGTGAATGTGATAAAGGCATTTTGATACAGAAGCCTTAATGTAGGATTATGTTGTTACCATTCAACGCATAATTTTGAATATCAGTGGGTCATTTCACTGAGACTGTGTTTTTGATTATAGATTCATAATACATACAATGTGTATGTGATGGAATTCTATATTTAATAGAATCAATGGGTTTCAGAATGAAGACATGACTACAGCTGTTGTGATGGCACTTATAAATAAATATTGTATATTCTGACTGAGTAGTCTTCAATGTGGAGAAGGCCACAGAACATGTATTTATAAAGGCAGATTGGCATGGCATTTAAAACTTCTCAAGAATGAATGTTGAGTTTACAAACCAACGAAAAGCCTCATATGAACTTTGTTTCCATGTGTGATTTCAAATGTTAATTTATTACCAATAAAGAAAATGTCCCTTGTTCTGTATGTTTTTATTCACCCTCTCTCCTGTCTGTGGGCTCACTACTCATAGGGATCCATGGAGGTTGGGTTCACAAAGGACCAAGTGGTAGTCTGGCTGTGGGGAGGTGTGTGGAGAGGGAAGTCTGGCCGTCTCTGCTTAGACCCAGCAACGGATAAAACAGAAGAAACTGGATGCATGTAAGGATATTTTTAGTCATGTTTAGCGCAATTGCTCTTTCTAGTTACTCTTCAAAAATATGTATGAAAATGTTCAAATGAAGTGGGTTGTCTGGGTATATAACAATAACATGTATTGTTTATTTGTTATATCTAAAGGTTTATTAAAGAAACCTGTGAAAAAAGTATGTCTTTATTACTATGGTGTCTTGGTTTAATTCAAGTCTTATTATTTTCGTCCTTGTTTCACCACTAGAACAGTAATACATAGATCATAGTAAAGAAAACAGGTTCAAGCTAATATAAATTGTAAATATAATTATAATGTTAATAAAGATACGCTCAGAATGGTGGTCATTGGAATTTATATCAAGTTTGCTCTTCTTACACTCACAAGATGGCCGCCGTATCGACAGTAGTTCCTCTAGCTTTCCACGAGACCAGCTGCACACATCACGCTCCGTACGGTGCTGCAGTGAAATTAGCCCGGTTAGCACCTGTGTTGCTAAACTCAAAACGATCGCTTCTCGTACATGACATTTGGGTGATTGGTATATTTAGAAAACATGTCTGGAAGCGCAGGGGAATGGTGTCTGATGGAGAGCGACCCCGGGGTTTTCACTGAGCTCATAAAAGGCTTCGGTAAGGCTGGACAAATGCTACATGCTAACGTTAGCTTCTCCAACTCAGATTGAATGGGGAATATCGCTGTGCTGATATGCATTCTAATAATTAGCCCGGTTGTTTTAATTACTTGTTTGGGAGCTAATATCCTCTGGTCGGTGTTTGAATTGCAGTAGTAGATTTAGCCCGAATATTTAGTCTGTCGTGGGAAAATTGTGTTTGTTTTGGAGATGGCGTGAATGAATTGACCATAATGCTAACGAGCTAGCGTTAGCATTACTCAGCGTTCAAACTCGCGGCGGGGAAAACATGGGTTTGTTTTGGTTTTGCGTTTGGCTTGTTTACCCCATGGTTGACCCCCGTGTGGATCTTTTCACAAAAATATATACACCTGTCAATTAATTGCATGTCTTACCATTATTGTATTTTATGTGTTGTTAGTTTATTGTGTCGTTTTTTCCCATGTTACAAATACGACATAAGATAAGATAAACTTTATTGATCTCACAATGGAGAAGTTTACCTGTCACATTTGGCATAGATAGAATCACTCAGATTGTGCACAGTCAGAAGTGTGCATAGTAAGACACATTTTCTTTTTCCCTACTTTTTCCTCTCTAACTTTCCCTAATACAATGTTTTTCGTGTGAGATATTGCCTTTTTATTTTGTCTTCCTCCTACAACATCTTCTATTGTCATTACACACATTCTTCTCACTTCTTCTCACTTTTTGTCTGCCTACCCTTTTTTACCCTCTTTTTTTCTTGTTTTAGAGGCTTGTGGGGTTTATCCTAGATAACTTTATCTTTATTCGTAACACTGTGGGCAAACGTTAGTCGTGTTGCAATTTTACACCGAGAGCGGGATCGCCATACATGAGAACATACATAGGTAGTAAATGAGTAATGCATGATTTTTACGAGCAGCATTTTCAATGAAGTGTGAATGTCATATGGAGCCCAGAAACATGATGCATTAAATAAAGGATAAATACATTAAGGTAACTAGACTAAGTACCCTGAAGTCCTGCCTCAGACTCAAACCTGGCGCTTAAAGGGTTTACGCCAGAATTATTTGTTCCTGACTTGCTGACTCACACTCTGATTGATGGATGATGACAAGATAAAATCTGTGTTAAATCACACATATCCTCCAGGAAGAATGAGTCGGACAAACCGCTGACATGCATGTGTCCTCAGGCTGCAAAGGAGCACAGGTGGAGGAGATCTGGAGCATGGAGCCAGAGAACTTTGAAAACTTAAAGTAGGTCATTGTTTGGCGCTCTGTAGATGCGTTGAATGTTGTGTGTTTTGTGCGTCTGTAACACTTGTGTTTCCTCGCACTCAGCCCGGTGCATGGGCTCATCTTCCTGTTCAAGTGGCAGGCAGGAGAGGAGCCAGCCGGGTCCATCGTCCAGGACTCACGACTCGACAGCATCTTCTTCGCAAAACAAGTGAGTCTCAGTCAGTTCCAATCACCTTATTTGTGGAGTTTCTGCTTCTCCGTCTCGATGAGCAGTCGGTATTTGGTGATTTCTGAGCTGACAAACCACTGTATACGTTTTGAAGATTACATTCCGTGAAGTTGATTAACGAAAAGTACCATGTCCTCCTCGTCCCTCTGATTGAACCCTGTGTGTATTCTTTCAGGTGATAAACAACGCGTGTGCCACTCAGGCCATTGTCAGCGTCCTCCTCAACTGCTTCCATCCCGACATCGAGCTCGGAAACACACTGTCCGAGTTCAGAGAGTTCTCCCAGAGTTTTGACGCCGGTGTAAGACACTAGTTTGAACTACTACACTTATTACTTACATCACCGAGTACATTAGTAAATTGTAATAAATCTATGAAATTATTCTTTCTCTATTCCCTCACCCTCAAAAGAGTATGATTCCATCTCTAGCTTTCTGTGTATTTTTGGCCTTCCCCTCATCAGAGACTGCTCAAAAGAGAGAACCAGAAGGGAGTGTGAACTGACAAGCACCATTTGTGATTGGCTCTTTGGTTGCTAGGCTCTAAATTCTCGTCCACGGTGCCTTTGGAGTTGGCTCCAATTGGCTTCACATTAAGTGGGAGAGAGAGAGACCAGAGGAGATGAACACTAGAAAGCTGATCTAAAAGATGTGAAAGCAAAATACATGTATGTAAAAACTAGTGACAGATTTAAAACCATCCACAGCTACAGACTTCCTTGAGATGCGATTGGACCACTTTCATTTATACTTACAGCGGATCTAAATGTTATAAATACTCTCCATCAGCACTAGACACACATCTATACCTATTTTCCAAGCTCTCGTCCTGATCCTCTCTGCCGTGTGTTGCTTAGAGCTGCTTTTTAATCCATAATTCTCAGGTCTCAGTTCTGTATAATCGCTTTCCAAACGCTGACGGGTTTTTCAAGTTTCACAGTTTGAACCGACAGCTTTTCAGATGTGATGCTAGGGGTCGTCGTTGCGTCATGTGTGAGACTTATTTCATGGGAAACTGGAGAAGGTAGCGGGAACAGCTCGTGATTGCCTCTGTGGTTGCTAGGTTGTTGCTACCTGCCAATTTTGCTCTAATATTTTGTCCATGAAGTTCGCTCTTGCTGGCTCCACAATAAGTGGGAGAGAGAAACCCGAGAGAGGGAGGGAGAAACCCGAGAGAGGGAGGGAGAGTGACTAGGGAGACCTGAAATAGAGAGACACGAGAGAAAGGGAAACTGTTTGAGTTTGGCCTCTTCTGCGTTAAGACTAACACTATCTGTCAGTCCTCTCATACAGACTCTGCTCCTCTCTGAAGCTCACATGATGGAAATGTTCTGATCTTCTCTGTTCTGTTCTCCACAGATGAAGGGTTTGGCTCTGAGTAACTCTGAAGTCATCCGACAGGTGCACAACGGCTTTGCCAGGTGACACTTCACTAGTCCTCTTTTCCATTATTAGTGCAGTAACTATGGAGAAGAAAAACAATTCATATACATTTCCATATAAAAGTTATGGTTCATACTTTCATACGTCTTTTTATTAGATTGTTCTCTAGCTGTATGTATTGTATATACTGTAGCCCTGATTCCGCTCTACTCTACTGGATGTATGTGTGCATTATCGCTATATTAACTTATATTTAAGAGAATGCAATGATTATGTAAGGATGCACAGATTCCACTTTTTTCAAAATTGTACGAGTACCTTAATTTGAGTACCAATACTGAATACCAATACAAGTACTGCATTGTGTTATCCCTGGGAAGAAAATTCTTTAAGAAATGCATTTTAGCAATTGTTTTAACAGTCAACAAACGTGCCACCATCATATTCCAGTCAAACAAATGCTATCTTTTCATGCTCTGGTGCTAGCAAAGGTTACACTTCCTTGTGGGGAGTTTTCAGATGTTTGATCAAGTTGCTGGTGTTCCACGTGTTTGTTTTGGACCCACCTCGTGACAGTTTTGCTTTACACAACAACGTACAGTCCACTTTACTCTAAAAACTGCCATACGGCCGACATACTGTCCACGTGCCGCTATGCTAGCGGCTTTTGGAGATCACCATATCGGTATCGGTGCATCCCTAAAACGCCTCGATTCACAGTGATAGCGCGGCACGAGCTGCAGAAGCCCCGCCTCCAGGAAGTGATTGAAACCTTCCTAGAAAATTACAACTAATATCTGTTTTAACAGAGACCAGTATCATCTTCTTCTCTCGTACTGATTCCTTTTTGTTTGTTGCAGGCAGCAGATGTTCGAGTTCGACGCCAAGTCCACGTCTAAAGATGAGGATGCGTTTCACTTTGTCAGTTATGTCCCAGTGAACGGGCGTCTGTACGAGCTGGACGGGCTGCGAGAGGGGCCCATCGACCTCGGTGAGCGACGCAACCCTCAGTTTTAACAAACATCAGAGATATCAAGAGCACAGCACGTTTTACCCAAGAGTTAGTTTCCAGAGAGTATTGGCAATACTTGGAGTCGGCAACAATAGCAGAAAACAACAAGTTGATGTGGTAGATGCAGGACCATACGCTGTTTTGATTTCTCACCCTATCAATCACTTCCTGGAGGCGGGGCTTCTCCATCTCATGCCACGCCATCACTGAATCGAGGCGTTTTGCTGCCTCTGGAGAAGGAAAGGGAAAGATCGCTCTCTAACTGAAGCTTGAAGATCAATGAAAAAACTACTTTGGGCTAATAGCTGTAAGGATGTTTCAAGCAGAGAAGAAAGTTTATGCTGCGTATTTACAATCTCAAACTCCACAGCCGCCTCCGGTCAAACGAAAGGTGAATGCTCAAACAAGCATTAATGACAGTTTTGCTTCTGTTGCTCCTTATGAGAAAAATTTGAAGCGACTCAAAGCTTTAACTGCAGCAATTATGCGATATATAGCAAAGTGCACACTCTCCTTTAATACTGTGTGTATGGAATTGGCAACTTTAGGCACGATTTGAGGTTAACTCATTCACTGCCCATGACGACAAAAGTCGTTCTATTGTATAGTGACGCTCACTGCCCAAGACGACTTAGACGACTTTTTCGTGTTATTACACGGGAGGCTGCAGTAATGTCTGGCGCACCTTGTTAATGACCCACAACACTGATATATAGTGCAAATGTACCTGTAATGATAAATCACCACCAGTAGGATGCAGTATTGCACCACAGGAGAGGTCATAAGTCAGTGGAGAGGAGGAGGAGTGTGGGGTCTTTGGAGAGCGTGCTGTGCTGCTGTAGCAGAGCGATGATAGCGTACTGTAGCATTGAGACGGATCAGATCTAGTTTAGCGATAGTATAGCATGAGTGATGGCAAAAAAGAATAGTTATAAGCAGTATACACTGCTTCAGAGATTGACTCGCGGATCAGTGAGTGAGGTCGAGAGGGGAGAGAGGGGAGACCCGGGTGGAGGTCCGTCTCTGCAGCTACATTTGCGCGGAGCAAGAGCCCCGAGCAGAGACACACCCTCCGCCTCTCTCAGCGTATCAGCTGCTGCTGTTACTGATGCCTCGGATTCGTTCAGAAAACCTGATCATGATTTATCGGACACACTCACAAACACTCACACGCACTCACTCACTCACTCACGCACACAGACACTCACTCGCACACAGACACTCACTCGCACAGACACTCACTCGACACTCACTCGCACACTGACACTCACTCACACAGACACTCACTCACACAGACACTCACTCGCACACTGACATTCACACACACACACACAAATTCACATGCTTCATTCTATTTTATACATCTATAGTTTTATTGATCTTTGTGTTGTTGTTGTTTGACGTTTTGGTTGATGGTATAGAAGAAAGTTAAATTTTCTATCTGTGAATAAATTGCCAACAATTTGCCATCAAAAGTATTATTTCAGAGTCATGTTTTTATAATTTTTGTAATGGAACAAGTGTGAAGATGTTTTGAGTTGTCACTAAAGCAGCAAAAATGCATCTAAAGTCTCTTTTCTGCTTGATATGTTCCTGTTTACATACAGCTCCTTTTCTCTGTTTTCTTGCTCAGACCAGGTGTTATGGGTGAAAGTATGCTTTGTTCTATGGCAAATAACGCAAGAACGGTAAGAGGTAGAAACAAACTGTTTTTTTCAGAGTAAAGCAGAGAGGTTAATCTTTAATTTGGTGCCCTTGGTGTTTACATCGTCTAAAAAATGAATATTCTGTGGCACTTCAAAGTTGGGTCAAATCACCTGAAATTGCTGGCAGAATGCACTTCTCAAATCTGAAAATGCCTGGCAGTCAGTGAGTTAATATGAGCCATACTGCATTTTAATGTAATTAATGTTGGGCTTATTTTTAGTTAGAGATTTTTCTCTTGCGTTTCAATGCAGATTGCATTTTTAGGTGAAAGACAAAAATATGGCTATAATATTGATATCAAAATACTAAACACCCGAAAATCGCTCTAATTTTTTATATTGTGCAGCCCTACTACGCATTTCATGTGTGATATTACCCTTGACATACTCCAATAGATTCATCCTTTCATTCATTTTCCTCTGCCAGGTGTTTGTAACCAGGACGACTGGATCAGCGCGGTGCACCCGGTCATCGAGAAGAGAATACAGAAGTATGCAATCATACGTCCACTTATTGAACTTCAGACTGACTTCAGAAACATTAACTTTGACTCATGGTTCTGTTCCGTCAGGTACAGCGAGGGAGAGATCCGCTTCAACCTCATGGCTATCGTCTCAGACAGAAAGATGATCTACGAACGCAAGATCACAGAACTGCAGACGCAACTCACAGAGGTGGGAGGAGACTAGGAAAATGTAATATACCAAAGACAAAAGGATAGAAGCCACTGGTTCCTCTAATGTCTAAGGAGATGTAGCATTTTCAGTATGCAACCAATGCAATGTGTGTAAAGTCCACTTATTTGCTACTATTCGGTTGTTATTGTGTTTCAGACTCCAAATACATCTTCAATTCATAGAAAAGTCTGTATAAAGCTCTTATTTAAAAGTGATTCCTTTCTTTAGTATTAGCTTATGATAGCTAGGTTTTAGAGAGAAAAACATTACACCAAATAAGACCCAATCTGTTTGTGTATTATGTCTCTCTGGTCTCGCTCTCTATTTCTGGTCTCTCTCTCTCTCTGTTCTCTCTGGCCACTAATAAACCCAAAACTGTGAGCTGTACATTCTAAGATATCAAATGTGAATTATCTAATATATTTTTGAATGTCCAAAAATAATGGGTAATTTTTGTTCTTTTGACGCGTGTGTACAGGATGAGCCCATGGACACAGACCAGAGCAGCACCTTCGTCAGCTCAGAAATCGCCAAATACCAACTGCTCATCGAGACGGAGAACCAGAAACTACAGAGATATAAGGTGATCTCACTCAAAAGTCACATTTTTAAGACTCTCTCTCTGGCTTCTTTCTCAAGTCTCTCTCTCTGACCTCTTTCTCTGGTCTTTCTCTGGTCTCTCTCTGGCCTCTCTCTCTGGTCTCTCTCTCTGGCCTCTCTCTCTGGTCTCACTCTGGTCTCACTCTGGCCTCTCTCTCTGGTTTCTCTCTCTGGTCCCTCTCTCTGGTTTCTCTCTCTGGTTTCTCTCTCTGGTTTCTCTCTCTGGTTTCTCTCTCTGGTTTCTCTCTCTGGTCCCTCTCTCTGGTTTCTCTCTCTGGTTTCTCTCTCTGGTTTCTCTCTCTGGTTTCTCTCTGGTTTCTCTCTCTGGTCTCTCTCTCTGGTCTCACTCTGGTCTCACTCTGGCCTCTCTCTCTGGTTTCTCTCTCTGGTCCCTCTCTCTGGTTTCTCTCTCTGGTTTCTCTCTCTGGTTTCTCTCTCTGGTTTCTCTCTGGTTTCTCTCTCTGGTCTCTCTCTCTGGTCTCTCTCTCTGGTCTCTTTCTCTGGCCTCTCTCTGGTCTCTTTCTCTGGTCTCTCTCTCTGGTCTCTCTCTGGCCTCTCTCTCTCTTTGGCCTCTCTAATTTCCATCAACTTGTATGCTAATTCAAAGACACACTTCTCTCATCACTCCACATTCTACACGATAAAGTTCCACTCGCTTCTCATCCTCAAAGTTCCACTGTCATGACCTCACTGCTGCTTCTTCTGCAGATCGAAAACATCCGACGGAAACACAACTACCTCCCGTTCATCATGGAGCTGCTGAAGACGCTGGCGGAGTACCAGCAGCTGATGCCGTTGGTGGAGAAGGTAAGATTCCTCGGAAAATGAACATCTCTCCACGAAGCTTTAGACTTCCCTCAAACCAGCGACTCGCAGACGATCACTTTGTTCTTCTCTCACTTCCTCCGCACTTAAACAAGTTGCTACACTCTAAACTATTCACTATGACGTCACTTATGTTACACAACTATACATTGTAAATCTTTATTGGCCGAGTATACATCAGGGACTGGTCGTTTACATTCTGGGTGGGGCTCTTCTGGCTCTCGTCATGTTTTAATCTACAATCATACTTTAACCTGACGAGAAAGGGAACCATTTAGCCACATTTAGGTGTTTTTCATGTCAATCGCTTAAACACAAAAGAATCCAATAAAAACAGCTAAAATACCATCCTTCAGATTTACTATTCCGATGATACTGGTATCGATGATACTGGTACTCTCTGGTTTCTCTGTCCCTGGTCTTTTTATAGTTCATTGTTTGTATCTATGACTTTTTATAATCAAGGACCTCCTCTTGGACCAAAATCATTACTTTTATTGAATAATGGTCATACTTAATTTGATATATATCTTTCTTACACATTTTTAAGTTAATAATCTAAAGATATATGTTGTAGAAGCAGTATTACTGGATCTACAGTATGCAAATTTCTCCATTGTGAGATCAATGAAGTTGATCTTATCGTATGTGTCCACTAGATGGCACTGTCTCCTCAATTGACTCACTAACACTTTACTGTTTGAAATCTTGTTCTAACTCCATTTTTTTTTCTTATTTTTCAGGCAAAAGAAAAACAAAGTGCCAAAAAAGCACAAGAAGCCAAATGAAGAGACTTATTTAAACCCTCCACATTCAGACCTGACAGATATGGCTTTGACTCGACACGTAACAAACGCCAATCATCTCGAAGCTGTCGGACATTTTCCGGATTTGTTTTTGTTGCTTTTGTTTTTATATCCATGTGTTGAATTTGTAAACTGCAGATTACAAACTCAAAGAGACATTTGTTTGGTTTTAATCAGTGCTTTTTGGTGCTACACTGACTCTCACAACACATGGAATGGGCTTTAAAACCTTTGCACACGTTGTCAGGGTTACGGCCAAAAAACATACTTTTTGTTATTTTTTTGAAATACCATTAAAAAGTGACGGACATCTGTGAAGTGAAAGCAAAATGATACATGATGCTGTTTGTTTAAATAAAAAAATAAAAAAGTGGGGTTGGCATATATGTATAATGCTAACATAGGCTGTATACAGATGGACTATGCTAATCCACTAGCTCAACAAAGCCCAATAGGGAAGTGCTCATGGTGAAGTTTGGTTCCTCTCTGGCTCCTATTAACTTCTATGCAAAAGTAAACACCTCTAGCTCTGTAAAGTTTGCAACACTAAACATGATGGGCTTAAATATGTGGTTTATCGCTCTGTGATCCTGGTCTTTATATTGTGATATTGTTTTTATGAAAACAGTTATCATTGTCCTTCATTTTTGGGGAAACTCCAGCTTGTCTGCTTCTGTTACGTCAGAAAAAATGCCCAAATAAGCAAACTGGCTGCAGCTTATGTTCAAATCAGCTTCTTCCACGTTAAGGCTAACACTGGTGATGTCACACGCAGTCTACTCCTCACACAGTCTGGTTTTCACATTTATTTATACAATAGTAGTCTTCGACGATGACACTGATTTCTCCACTGTCAGACAAATAAAGGAATATCTTATATTCTTTTGCAGGAAGTTTGACTCCACAAGCTTTGCACTTCTAGAGACTGAAAGTTTAAGTTGTATTTGTTCTTGGGTGAGCCACAGTCATAAGTTGCTTGTGTCCAACCAGGAAGTCACATTCAATAAAAACTCAAACATTTCCAGAAAACTATCAAGATTTAAAGTCAAATTATAATAATGTAACGTGAAGGCCCTGGTGACAGAAAGATGACTCTCGAGGTAATAGAACAGCAGGATGGAGCAGGATTCTTTGAACCATCACTTTATTGAAATCCCATTTTCCTCTTATTCCTTCACCTACGTTACACATATTTCACCTAATCACAATACCTCACTGCACTGCTCCAAACTAACAAATATATAACTCATCAAAATAACATAACCCTTACATTACTCTCCCCTCACAATAGAAACGTCCCTGTTTCAGACAACAGGTAAAACAAATAATCAAATAAAACACTAAATCTCTCAGTAACATAATCCTTGAGGTAAGGAGGAGGCCTAACATTACGCTGGCTAGACCGTGGAAACGTACTCATCCCTTTGTACACTGGAGGAACCATTAGGAGAACCTTGGGAGTCAGGGCCCCTCACATCACCTTCTGGAACTGGAGCTCTAGTTTATAGTTAGCAATTTATGAGCAACTCGAATCATCTATCAAATAACAAATCTTATAGGTCACCCTGCATCTGCTCTTCTAAACCCCTACACACTCCTGAACCACAAATTAACATTTCCAATGAGGAGCCAGATTTTGTTTAGACCTTGTAGGATCATTTAACGGCACTGGTTTGGCTTCGGCTGCCGTGAGACATGCGCAGGTTTGCATCACATCATAAACAGCAGAGGGAGAGAGACCTGAGAGGAAGACCAAAGAGAGACCAGAGCAGGGGTGTCAAACTCATTTACGTCGGGGGCCGAATAAAAAGACTAGGAACTGGTCGGGGCCGAAAGAATATAAGGAATTTGATTTTCTTATAATTGTTTTTCATATAATTGTTTTTCTATTACTATGTAACTTACACTTCTAATGATGTGCTGGGTTGAAATGTTATAATACTTTATAGTTGGTTGTTTTCCTGAGACAATAGATGATGAAAAACATGGCTTGGTAAACCCATAACCATCAGGAAGTCACAGACTAGGAAATTACTTCGGCTCTCGGTGCAATCAAGTCAAAAGTAGAGAAGAATAAGGTATAATACAACATGTCTAAAACATTTCCAAACATCTCTGAAGTATAGCTTCAGGGGAGAGGTCGGAACAGTCCATGTGCCGGGTCAATGCTGCAAGTTAACAATAATATTTGAATGTCATAATAGGGGCCGGATCTGGCCCACGAGCCTGAGTTTGACATGTCTGGACTAGAGAGAGACCAGCGGGAGAGACCAGAGAGAGAGACCAGCGAGAGAAACCAGAGAGAGAGACCAGATAAAGACCAGAAAGAAAGACCACTTTTCTGTCCTAAAGTAGGTACTGGAGGTGGACTCTGGAAACTCTCTGATCTATCTCTGGTGCTTTCCCAAACAGCTGTTTCCACTGCCTTCACTTTCAGAGCTCTATAATCAGCAAAGAGCTCTATAATCACCACAGAGCCTTATAATCACCACAGAGCTCTATAATCACCACAGAGCTCTATAATCACCACAGAGCTCTATATTCACCACAGAGCTTTATATTCACCACAGAGCTCTATATTCACCACAGAGCTCTATGTTCACCACAGAGCTCTATAATCACCACAGAGCTGCCCTCGGCTCTGTGTGTCATTGTGTCTGTCATTTCTGCAACATGGACTGTAAATATTAACAACCACAAATATTGCACTATCATTTGTATGAATCCATCTCTACACTGCAAGAAGCGATTCTAATTAAGTCAAAAATTGCTCAAATTTGCCAAAACGATCTTTATTTGAGCACATTCTGACTTTAAAATCATTCCAATTCCCGTTTTTGGAGCCAAACAAAGCCCTTTTCTTCAGTGTTTCTGCGTCACAGAGTCTGCGGCAGAGGAAAGGTATCTGGACTTGTACAAACTTGTTCAAATCGGCACTTTTTTCATTTTTTTCCTTCCACCGTGTTGAAGTAAAGGATTGTCCAGGTCAGAGCAGAGAGCAGAGGATGGAAACACAGTCACAATGTTGTTCTCAAAAATACGATTCTACAACATCAAAGATCTGATCAACCAAGTCAAGAGGCCGCGACGGTGAGAGACGGACTTTATGATTTAGAGACATTATTATGGTCAGAGATGTGGGGAATCTAAGGAGAGACTGAATCTTAACATTGAAACTACATTTGTATATTTAGTTTTTCACTTTTCCCCAAAAAATGTTACTGAAGGATTGGAAGAAGCTCTTTTGTTTCAGCCTCCTTCTGAGATCTAAGACAGAATATTGTTAAGCTTTCACAAAACTTTGAAACCAAAATTGCTAAAAACCAGACTTAAGGTCACAATATCATTTCTTATGCTTATTATTATGCTAAGATTAGAGATTTTATTTTATTTTTGTATACTTATCTTGTGCTGTGGGCTTCTCATTCCGACTTTTCTGTAGATCTCATTCAACATCCAGTCGTACAATTGACTCGACAATCTAGAATCTCAAGTTTAACGGTATATTTTGTTCAATTAAAAATCACTATCTTTGTATCGCAGCAGTCGTCATACCCTGCTCGTACCACACCATCGGACAAATTACATTGTACATACAGGGAAATAATAATTAACCAGAGTTTACAGATGGCTAGGGTCAGGCTACACAGAGTCGTCACAGAGAACTTTACAAAGTTATGGATTCGAAGCCAACACAAAAAGCCGTTGGTCCGTAGAGAGCAAGATGACTATTGTTCAGAAATATTATAAATGTCCTGGATCATAGTAGTAGTTGTTGGTTTTTTTGAGCAGTGTTATAATGTATTTGTTTACAGGTACATGTGATCGAAGAAACCACGCTCAAAAGGAGAAGGCATGAGCAAAAAAGCCTTCCCTTCCCTCTGTTAAAACAGATATTATTTGCCTTCCCTTACTACATATAAGCGACTGCGAAAAGATTCAAATTTGTACATGAGATTCCTTTTTACCATCCTCATCATCATTATCATCTTGTTAATGCAAACAAAAGAAAAACAGCAATAGTTATCAATTTATGTTCCATATTTCATCGCAATAATACGTGTGTTTTTTTTTTCTTTTTTAATAATACTTTGACGTGTGGTGCATTGCGAGGTGGAGTCGGCCCCCTCTGCTTAAGCCAGTACATGTCCAGACCTGTTTGAAGTTTGCTAGAGAGAATTTGAATGATCCAGAAAAGGATTGGGAGATGGTCAGATTGTCAGATGAAGCCAAAAAAGCTAAACTTTTTGGTGAAAACTCATCTCGTCGTGTTGGGAGGAGAAAGAATGCAGAGTTGCATCTAAAGAACACTGCACATACTTTGAAGCATGGGGGTGGAAACATCATGCCTTTGGGCTGTTTTTCTGCAAAGGGACCAGAACGATTGAACCGGTGTAGAGGAAAGAACGAATGAGGCCATGTATCGTGAGATGTTGAATGAAAACCTCCTTTTATCAGCAAGGGCATTGAAGATGAAACGAGGATGACATTGTAAAACTCAGACAATGTGATTTCTGGATTTTTTTCTCATTTCTCATAGTAAAGCAGAGCAGCGCTGAGCAAAACAGAGTAGAGTAGAGTAGAGTAGAGTAGAGCAGAGTAGAGTAGAGCAGAGCAGGTGGAAACAGAACTTGTTGCAGCTTCCTTCTATTTTACACTATTTGGCTTCGGCTCAATTCATAAAAATAACTTATTTCTAGACGTTTCTCAGTTGGTTTTTCATAGAAGTCTGCACTTACTTGAGCCAGCTCTGTGGCCTCTCTCTTTCTCTCTCTCTATCTCTCTCTCCCCCTTCTCTCTTTTTTCCTCTCTTTCTCCCTTTCTCTCACTATCTGTCTTTCTCTCTCTCTTTGTCTCTCTCTCTCTGTCTCTCTCTCTCTTCCTCTCTCTCTCTCTCTCTCTCATGTTCCTTCCTCCTCTGTTCTTGGACACTTCCTGGTTGAGAACTTCCTCTTCAGTGAGAGCTTGTTGTGAACCTCCAGGTCCGGCTTCGTCCTCGGCAGAAGATCAAAGAAACATGAGGGGGTGGAGATCCTCCGGGTGCGGAACATGAACCAGGAATCTCACTGGAAAAGTGTCAGGTCAGTGACCAGTCTCAGTGTAAAAAGATGAGGAAGTCTTCACAGAATGTTGTAAATACAGTGTGTTTGTTTGCTGTTTGTCTGTATTTTTGTTGTCAGTTTTTTACATGTCTCTGGACCTTTTATGTTTCTGAATTAAAGATTAAAGATTAAATAAACCTTTATTTTTCCTTCAGTTCAGTCATAGTTGCACATTGCAGCAGAATAAAAGGAGAAATAAGAGACTCATGTAGTATTATAGTAACTCATGTTACTATAATACTATATTATTTAAGATGATAAATAAGATGATTAATTGTTCTCGGGTCAGAGATAACTTACAGCAGCATCAGGATTTTCCACATAATAAACAGATTTTGACCAGATGTGAATGTGTTTGTTCTCAGTTTGAAGCCGGGTTGTTCCCTGCAGCCATCGCTGGAAGAACTTTTGCGTGACAATGGTACAGACGCTTCTCTTTGTTTTGTACAGCACTAATCCACAGCTGTAGTTCATCTCAAAGGACTTTACAAAGTTGTGGCTTTGTCAACACAGATCAGAGAATCAAACAGTTCGGACACAAGAAAAGGAATAATAACAGACGAACAGGTTGAAGATCCAGGACTGAGGGTTTAGATTCAGGTGAATAGCAATGAACAGACTACATCTGAAGTCATAATGATGACAGATTAAGTGGAGGACAGTGCTGTTACCAAACTTCTCCAGTAGGGGGCTGCATGTGCAGCATCACTGACAATCTGTGTTTTTAGACTATAGTTTGTATTTCTAAGTCTTCCCTGAATCTAAACTTCCTAACCAAGATAACTACTGTGATTTGTGATTTGAATTGAATAAGGCCTTGCATGTTCACAGAAGTGTTGTGTGTTTGCAGAGTTCCGGCGATCGTTCCGCTCCTTCCTCCAGTCTGAGTTCAGTGAGGAGAACCTGGACTTCTGGTTGGCTTGTGAGGAATTCAGGAGCCTGAGTGATCAGCAGCAGCGACAGACAACTGCTCAGTTCATCTACAGAGAGTTCCTCCTGAGCAGCGCCCAGAGGGAGGTGGGTCCAGGCCTTTTCTCTGCTGCGACACTGCCTCACTCAGTAAATCTGTCAAAATGTTAAGGTCAAAACCAGTTCAACACATTAGAGAGAAACCCAGAACAGCGGATAGTTGTGAGAAGGTTTGGATGAAGGAAACATTTAAAACCGCCCTCATCTTCAACACAGAGAGACATTGGAACAAAAATAAACGTCAATAGAAAAGCAACACAACAGAACCACAATATGACACTATATGGTTCCAGTAACTGCAGGTGTAGCGAGGTTCATACACACACACATTTGTACAGTACAGTCTTATGTACATGATCTTATTCAGAAAATGTGCAGTTACAGGGGAAACTCTGAGAGTTAAAATGTTGTTCAAAAGTCCATTTACTTTTGTTATTCAAGTTAAATATGAAACTAATACATGAAGTCTACACACCTCTGTTCTAATCGTGTTTCTTTCACAACTTTGTCCACCATTAATGTGACCTTTAACCTTTACAGTGCAACAACAGATTAGGGTCTGCCTATTTGTGGCCAGTATGTCCAGTGTCCTGAATGTTCAAGGATAAAGTTTTTGCACTACCCTCTAAGTGTTTGCTTCAGTTTATGTAGACCATAATAAGTCACAGAGAACAAGAGCCTTATTTCTCTCCATGTTTGTAATGTTTGTAATGTAATTGAATAATAATAAAGGGACATGGATAGCAATATATCACAGAATCTAATACAATTGAATCCTGATATTTTTGCCAGTCCCCACCTCTGTAATGGGTCCATACCAGACCTGTCCAGAGTAATACAGGTCTTGTTCCCTCTCTGACATGCTTGTTCTCTGGTCCCAGGTGAACGTGGACCAGTGGATCCGGGAGCAGATCTGGCGCTCGCTGGACAGACCCAGTGCGTCGTGCTTCATGGAGGCTCAGAAACACGTGTTTGCGCTGATGGAGAAAGACTCATGGCCCAGATTCACACAGAGAGGACAGAGCCTGGACCGCAAGTCCCGCTCCCAATGGTACATTTAGGCAGAGGCGGATGCAGCCACTGTCTGGGGCCCAGGGCAAACGTGTGTGACGGGGCCCCTCCTTCATGGATGTGTGCGTGTGTGTGTGTGTGTGTGTGTTTGTGTGATAGATCCCAGTCTTTTATGACGTTTTTATAATCAGGAAGCAAAATGTACAAAACCTGGTTTTCTTTTTGGATTGAATAAAACTTTCCATGGTCACAAATGGCTGCGTAGCTGATTAGAGTTAGCAGTGTCTTTAAACTCTTGAGCATTGTTTGCTTCTCAACCTGAGAAAACTGGACTGGGAGAGGAGGAACTGCAGAGCTCAACAGAAACATTGCTACATATTTACTTCCCATTTCTAGCATAACTTGTGCGTCCTGGTTGACACATGTGACATCAGAGGAATAGTTCATTTTGGCAATGAGGGGAGGGGTGGGGTCAATGTTGCATGTCTATTTTACATTTTCAAAAAAGTTTTAAGAAAGCTGTTTCATTGCTTATTAGTTTACATAATATTAGAGAAAAAAGGTGTGTTTCAGAAGGTTATTTCTTCATTAGGGGTCCCAGGCAGGATCTTCCCCCCTCGCCCAGCGCTAGGTCCGCCCCTGCATGTGGGAAGAATTATCAGCTCTGGATCCAGTTCCGCAAAAACACTGTCCTTTGTGTTGGTCCAGTTTGTAAGGTATACGTTTGAAAGTTTGAGTGGCACTAAAATCTCTGTGCATGTATTGGTGGCTGAGTGGTTAGCATTGACATCTCCAGGTCCTGGATTTGAATGCTGAGTTTGCCTATTCTCCCTGTGGCTTTGAGGGATGAGACTGAAGCTTAGATGAAAGCAAAACTGAAGCTTAATTGTCTTTATGTTGTTGATAAACCCGATTGTCGTTTCGCGTGTGAATAAAATGGACTGAAATGGAGTTGATAGAAGTTATAAAAGTGTTGAGGAAAGTTTGACTGAAAGTGGATTTTTTTGTGAGACTTGTTCCTAAATAAATAAACAGAATACTATACTATTTGCAAGATTAAGTTTTTGTACTTTTATATTTGTTTATTTATTTTATTTGCTGACAAATGTTTACATTTAACATTTACATACATACACACACATACACGTTTTTGTTACCTGGTGGGTCCCTTTGACAGGGCCGTTCAGAATGGGACCCATAGACATAATCTTTTTTTACCAAGACTTTAAGTAATACAAAACAGTCAATAGAAACCAAACAACTATTTTAAAGGAATTTTATTTTAGATTTTGTTTTCGAATTGCAGTGATTCTATTTTTGACATAGAATTTAATGCCACTCCATGTCCGATGTCTAAGGTCATCTGGTGAGGCATTAATGCAGGCCAGGCAGTGAGACTTCCCAGGGACCTTTCCAGTCTGTATGAAAGGTGTCATGGTCTTCTCCACAGCCTTCACCTCAGATGCAGACCATGGCTTTCTTACACGTTCTAGGGAGAGAAATAAAAATATATTAGCAATATACACTCCCAGGGTGAGGACCAAGCAGCCTGGCTGTAATCCCCCACCTGGTACACTTACCAGAAGGGGCACTGCCACTACCATGGGGTGCATCTGGATGAATGGTTGAAGGTTCTCCGCTTGAAGTTTCTTTTAGCCCGTCCGTTTGTGAGAGGATCTCTACTGCTCTCCCTGTCGCACAGAAAATAAAAATACAAGTGGCCTTTAGGGGAAAAAAATCATACATATTTTAATAATATCAAGAATTACCTTCAGGCTCAATTTGTATCTGGTCGAGGCTCTTTCCTTCGAATTCCGTCACTCTTCCCTGCTCCATGGCCATCAACACTTTGCTGATTTTGGCCAGCTCCAGTGTCCCCTCTGGTAGTCTGTAATATTGCCTGTGGATGCGAATGTCATGGCCGAGGAAGTTGGCAAGTATGTCCATCTCATTCTCTTTCATATTGAGAACTGTAGACATAGTAGCTATGTGCTTTCTAAGTTTGGTTGAGGATAGCATCTCTGGATGCACCGCACCACATTCTTTGGCTACCTGGCGTAGGGAGTCTGATCCCCTGATGTGGGTGTCTGCGCCCGGGCGGGAAAAGAAGTATGGGTTATGGTCAGAGATGGAACAGGCCCTTCTGTTCTCCACCAGCACCTCCATCGAAGCAATCATTTCAGGAGTCAAAAGAACCGGCACTTTCCGACTTCTTTTCCCTTTAATTTCAATGCGTTGAAAATGCTGACACAGCTTTTTCTCAAGTTGGGACAGTCCCAGAGCAATGTCAGAATGGATCCCAGTCTTACTTCTTAAGGTAAAGGCTGTCAGTGGCATCTTTGAAACCTCACCTTCCCTTCTTCGATTGAAAATGATGACCTCACAAAGAGTCAAAACTGCCAGTTTAGACCAATGCTTAGACGTTGGCTCACTTATTAGGGTTTGCACATATTCAGGTCGACATACCTCAATATGTGCATGCATGGCTCTAACGTCCTCAGTCAGAGGGAGCAGGTCCGGAGTGTTCCACTTGGCTTGCCGGAGGGTCTGTAGGGCAGCAGAAGAAACACAGACGTCCCACCTCTTCTCAAAAAGCAGCCGGCTTCGTTGGAGGTTTTTAATAAATAGTTCATCAACACAATGCTCCATTTTTGAGTCACATTCAAGAATATCTGCTAGCTTTCTGAGGCTATGGCCGAGTTTGAGGGCCAAGGATGGAGTCTTGTATTGATTTGTTTCCTCATCATATCCAGCCACAGACCTGACTGCATCAATCACATGGTTAAAGTTGGAAGGAATAAAGAAATCCTTAATTGTTTTCAGTTTCCCTGCGGTTTTTGCTTCGTTAATTAACCTACCGACTTCTCTCATTTTCTGCCTAATGTAATCATGCTTTGTCTTATCATGCCCGTGTTTTAAGTACAGGTGCTCTCCGAGTCTCAGAATCCCCTTTTCTGCTTTGACAACACCCGTGACCTCATCCTGATGCATTGCCGAAATTAAAGACCACAGCTTTTTGCTGATGCCCTCCGGTACAGGCTGGGCTAGGGAGCAGAGGGACTGGACCCTACTTCTACCTGGTTTAGCCTGGGCATCTTTCTGTGAAAGCCGGCACCTGGCCACATGCCTCCACAGCGACTTTCGCTTAAGCAATGCCCCACAGTCTATACAGTGCAAAAACTCACTGGATTTAACTGGGCAATTTGGCTGTTTAGCTGGGACTAAAGTTCCAATGCCGGCCTTTAAAACCTCAAAATTGTGCTCACGGTTTCCACTATTCCTGATCAAATCAAACTGAAGTTTACGTGCTTTAGATTTCACAGGTAGAGCCAATGCTCTGGCTACGTCACTTTCATTTCCATGTTTTCTAGTCAAATGACGGGACATTTTGTGGCAGGACATTGAACAGTAGAGGCAGAAGTGTCTCTTGCTGTATACTCGCCCCCCATTTTTCTTCTTTTGCAGCTGCATGATAACAATCTTATTTGCCTTTGGTTCGTCACTTTCCGAGTCTTGAAGAAAAGTGTTTTTGATTTTTCTTTTTCCATACTTTTTTACAGGTTTCTTCTTGACAGTTAAATCGTCAGAATCTGAGTCGACTTCATCAATTAGGGACTCTTGACTAAGCTGCACAAACAACAAATAATTTGTAATCATTCTATATAACAATTTGAAGTCATGACTTGTAGTCAGCACTTACCAGTGGTTTGTAAGCGTGCGCTTCAGTGTGCTCCTCCATGATTTCTTGCAGCCTAATGAACCACACACTTGCACCTTTTTCTAGCCTGACACCTGATTTCCTCTGTTGTGCTGCTCCATGATTGGCTCCAGCCTGCTGGACTGAAATTGCCCCAGTGTGCCCCTCCTTGATATCCCGCAACCCACCACCAGGGTTCCGACACATAACACACTTTTTTCAGGAAAGTAAACCTCCAGGGGTCCTTTCCATATTTTTACAGAGACTGCATAAGGACCGTTAGAAAAGCATTACCCATTGATTATTAAGCTTGGACCAGTGGGGTCCGGTGTTCGGGCCCCACCACGTAAAACCAGTCCCCATGACGTGAGTGGAATCTCAGGTTATGGAACCCACCAGGAGTTGAAAACAAGTGCACACACGCACACACAGATACACAGAGAGAGAGACACAAACACATACACACACACGCACACACAGATACACAGAGAGAGAGACACAAACACATACACACACACACACACACACACACATAGAGGGAGAGAGTGAGAGACACAAACACACACACCGAGAGAGACACAAACACATACACACACACACACTTACACAAATAAACGTAGAAAAGTAACACAATGCACACAAAATACGCACACACACGCACACAGACACACACCTCTCCTCCCTCACTTCAGTTCTTCTCTTATAAACAGTTTTTTTTATCAGGTTTGAACATGTTTTTGAAGTAAATGTGACTCAAAACTTTTACATGTGAAGTCGTTGTTTCCTGATTTTCAAAATAAAACACAACTGAAGTTACAGACATCACCTTTAATTCATGTCTCTATAACTTCTGCATCTGGTTCTTTTTCTGTCGCTGTTTTTGTTGATTGGTTTTGACAGTTTTCTGGTACTTTTTTATCTTGTTTTATTTATGTTCTCCTACACATGTGTTCTAGTGTGGTTTACTGTAACTGGAAATGGGAGAAAAACGGAATCGGAAGCCGACAACATAAAATACAAAAGTAATAAACATTCTCTGGTTTATTCTCACAGGTCAAAATCAACAAAAAAAACAATATTATAATTACTTTTGAAGACCTTACAACTCTCTGCACATGCATCACATTTGCTGCCCTTACCCACCCAACCCCGGCCCCTTCTCCCCCTCCTCCCCCTCCTCCCCCTCCTCCCTCTCTCTTTGCTCTGGCAGCTAGCCTCCTCTGCTGTGCTCTACATGGGCAGATTTCTGCAGATTGTGCCTTAAAAAGGAGTCGGGCAGAGTCTAAAAATACCCCCTCAGGATCAGGGCAGTGGAGGGGAACAGGGGCCCCCAGGGATCAGGGCCACCCCAGGGAAGGTTCCTTCTGAGGGAGAACAGGAGCCAGATTAAATCAATGCGCTACAAATTGGAGGAAATCCCTAGCAACGTTTGAGTTTATAGAGATGTAAAAAAAGGAACAACCTCCCCAATGACATCACCAAGAAACACATCAACAACACACTATCTTCTGGTTGCTCTCCTCGTGTCAGAGTGTGTGTGTGTGTGTGTGTGTGTGTGTGTGTGTGTGTGTGTGTGTGTGTGTGTGTGTGTGTGTGTGCTGGTCTGTCAGTCCTGTGGTTGCTCACCTAGTACGGCAGTTGCTTCTGGTCTGGTTTGACCAACAAGCAATTATTATACAGTTATTGTTTTCCATCCATCCATCCATCTTCTTCCCCTTAATCCATTTCTGGGTTGGGGGGCAGTCAGTGCTGCCACCGGTCCACATAGCCCCAACCCCTCACAGGAGCCTTGATCTTTCAGCAGGGGCTTCATCACTTATTTATTGTTATAGTTACTGTTTTAACAGTAACTATAAATAACTAAATCCATTAATGTATTTAAATTATGTTCATTGGGTGGGAGTCTCTCTTGGCGCTCTCCGGTCTCTCTCACTCTCTGGTCTCTCTCTCACTCTGGTCTCTCTCTCTCTCTGGTCTCTCTCTGGTCTCCCTCTCTGGTCTCTCTCTGGTCTCTCTAACTGTTCTCTCTGGTCTCTCTGTATGTTCTCCCCCTCTCTGGTGTCTCCCTCTGGTCTGTCTCTCTGGTCTCTCCTCCAAGTCCCTCTCTGGTCCCTCTCAGGTCTCTCTAACTGTTTTCTCTCTGGTCTCTCCCTTCGGTCTCCTCTTGGTCTCTCCCTCTGGTCTCTCCCTCTGGTCTCTCTCTCAGGTCTCTCTCTCTGGTCTCTCTGGTCTCCCTCTGGTCTCTCTAACTGTTTTCTCTGGGGTTTCTCCCTCAGGTCTCTCTCTGGTTTCTCAGAGGCAGTGTGATTGAAATGCCACATTCACCTGCAGTAAGAGTGACTACAACACACCTCATTCTTGTCTTGTCTTGGCTGCCCTCCACTTCACTTCCTGGTTCTTCTCTGGCCTGTTTCCATGGAGACAGTGTTTGTTTTGGGCCCAAACAGCGACAGATCGGGTGAGAGGTTCCTCAGAGGGAGAGGATTTCAGGAACAAGCCTTAAACCGAGCTGTGACGCCCTGAGCTGCTCATCCGCAACACTGCACCAGCGCTAAATATGTCCACAGTATTTATAGCCTCAGAACTTATCCTCTTTGCTCTGTATTCATCAAATCACTTCATTTTAATGTATTTTTTGCATCGCCCTAAATCACAACAGCAGTTATCAAGAAGGACTCTAATTCATCAGATCAGAGAATCAGACAGTTCAAATATAGGAATGGCGATAATAACAAACATGTAGGTTCACAGGGAGCGGGTCCAGGATCATCACTGTCATCACTTATCGACAAGGAACTAGTCACAGACCCAGTGGGAACAACCAATACATCTAATTATGAAAAAATTCTAAACCATTCGGCCCAGAGAGTTTTCTTAGAGTTCTCCCTGTGCCTGGTACCTGTGCTCTGTCTACGCTGGCAAGAGGGTACACAGAGTAAAAAAGGACGGTACTACTGCTTTAAATAACAGCTGACCCTCACAGGCCTTCACAGACTCTCTCAGACCCTCAGAGACTTTCTCAGACTCTCACGGACTCTCACAGACTCTCTCAGACTTTCTCAGACTCTCACGGACTCTCACAGACTCTCTCAGACTCTCACGGACTCTCATAGACTCTCTCAGACCCTCACAGACGTTCTCAGACTCTCTCGGATTCTCTCGGACTCTCACGGACTCTCACAGACTCTCACAGACTCTCACGGCCTTTTACAGACTCTCACGGACTCCCACGGACTCCCACGGACTCCCACGGACTCTTACGGACTCCCACGGACTCTCTCGGACTCTCACGGACTCCCACGGACTCCCACAGACTCTTATGGACGCTTGCAGACTCCCACGGACTCCCACGGACTCTCACGGACTCTCTCGGACTCTTACGGACTCTCACGGACTCTCACGGACTCCCACGGACTCTTATGGACTCTTACAGACTCCCACGGACTCTCACGGACTCTCTCGGACTCTTACGGACTCCCACGGACTCCCACGGACTCCCACGGACTCTTATGGACGCTTACAGACTCCCACGGACTCTCTCGGACTCTCTCGGACTCCCACGGACTCCCACGGACTCTTATGGACGCTTACAGACTCCCACGGACTCTCTCGGACTCTCACGGACTCCCACGGACTCCCACGGACTATCACGAACTCTCACAGACTCTCACAAACTCTCACAGACTCTCTCAGACTCTCACAGACTCTCATGGACTCTCACAGACGGCCACAGACTCCCACAGAGCCTAACAGACACTCTCAGACTCTGCTCGGTCTTTCCTTGGTCTCTGCTCGGACAGGTCCCTGTTTGGGCAGAAGCAGAAGCGCTGAGGTCATGGAACAGATGCTGCAGTCCTGCTCCTGAACCAGTGTAATTTTTAGCTTACAGCACTGAGGTCTTACTGTGGTCAGCCATCCGAGAGATCTGACCAGACCTGGCTTTGATGACCACATTTCTCCACTCCACTAACACTGGGATTTACTATCAAACATTGAGATAACAAGATTCTGAAATTCATCTAACTTGTTCCATTATAAAACGTTGGCTTTGTTAGTATTCACATGTGCAGATGTTTGGCTAACCATAATGTTGTATTGTCTAGTTTTAACATTTCAGGACAGTGGTCATTTGTCCCTATGGGCCGATGGCTCCTATGGGTTTTTTATCATTGTATTTCCTGCGTTTGAACTTTTTGATTCTGTGATCTTTGTTGGTGAATCAATAGTTTTGTGGAAGGTCCTCCAAGAAAAATACATTGAATTGAGTTGAAATTGAAAATGGTTCTCCCTAACATGTGCAGAAATTCAGCTGAGCAACAGATAGACAGTTAGATAGATAGATGGAGAGATGGATAGATGGATTGATAGATAGACGGACGGACCATCCGTCCGACAGTGCACTTCATTGAACCCCGTAAAAGAAATTCCACATGTGAATTAACATTTGCACTCAGTGGTTGAAAATGATAGGACAAAAGCCAACTCAGCACAGTTCTGTCTGCTCTGGTTCAGAATCGTTTCTCCTGATCACTTCTGCAAACAGGAAACTGCTGAGACACGCAAACACATGTGACACCATCGCTCCCTCTCAGAACCGTCAAACTGGTCTACAGCAGCACAGGGCGGCAAAATGTCTTTTCTCCTGTTATTATTTCATCTTCTAAAACAGCCTCGATATTAGGTTTTAGAGCCAAAAATAGAACTAGTCTGTCTGCAGCTAAAATACACAAAGGATTAGAAGACACACACGCACAAACAAACACACACACAGAGACACACACACACACAGACACACACAGAGACAAACACACACACTAACACAGAGACTCACAAAAACACACACACACAGACAGTCTTGAGTCAAAGCTGTTTTTGACACAATGAAAGGCCCAAAGACAGGTTTGAATGATCAAAGAATAAGGGAGGCTACATTTGCATGTGTGTGCATGTGTGAGTGTGTGGCGTGTAAGAGATTGTGTGTATGTGTGTGCTACAGAGTGTGAGAATGTGTGAGTGTGTGTGTGTGTGTGAGAGAGAGATTGTTTGTATGTGTGTGTTACAGAGAGTGTGTATGTATGAGTGTGTGAGTGTGTGTACGTTAGGTACCGGAGCCTCAATGGTCTTCCATCCAACCTTTACCCAGGCCCAACTTGCTAAGGTCCCCCCCCGCCCTTTGAGTCATCTTACTGCCCTTTAACAAGTCTCTTTAGTGCCCTTCTTTCTCTTTTTCTTTCACTTTCACTATTGCTCTTTCTGTCCATGTTTCCTTCCTTCTCCCTCTCCCTCCTTCTCCCCCTCGTTGCCGTCAAGCCCACCTTAAATAACCTGTTTTCCCCTCCCACATTACAAATCAATCCTAATTTACACCATCATCTACCGGACATGGGTACTTTAGCTTCATGATTGCATACTGTACATCTGACACATTTATACATATCCAATACAACAGTTACAGCTACAAATGAAGAAGAATACACACGTCCATGCAAATGAGCTTTGGTCCACATGACCCAACAGACACCCCCCCCCCCACCCTTTCTCTCTCCCCCTGTCCCTCTCTCTATCCCTGCCCTCTCTCTCTCCCCCTCTCTCTCTGTCATTTGCATCTGTGTGTGATTGTGCTGCCGTCACACGCAGCAGGAAGAACGTCAGACACGGAACATAGTTTTTGATCAAATGTTAAAATCTTTACAAACGCTTTAGCGATTCTGTTATTGACTTAGAAGAGAGTAATGTTCCAGAGAAAATCACATAACACATGAACTCACAAGACACATAAACCAAGAAATGCATTCAAAATACTGATCTTTACAGTTGCTGTGGTCAGGTTCCAGCATGGATATATACTGTTAAATCTATAATTGATTCCTGTTTATAAGCTTGAAATAATATACAATCAATCCAATCAATCAAATACATGTATAGCGCTAAGTCACAACAGAGATCGTCTGTAAGGACTGTATAAAGTTGTGAATTTGCCAATAACAGATCAGAGAATCAAACAGTTTGAAGACAGGAAATGAAAACAGAAGCCACTGGTCCAGAGGAGCAGAGACCACTGTCCTCAGACCCTCCTGCATCAGAGAGGAACCACTCAGAAACCCGAGAGTCCCATCATCACACCCTGAAACAGACAATGGGACAGCAGGTGAATAGCAATGAACAGACTACAGCCCCAGTTTTAATAAAAAAACGACAGATAAAGTAGAAGAGGATTGGTGCTGTTACCAGTAAAGTGTCTCTTTATGCAGCGTCATGTTCTGTGTTTTAATAAAGTTGTATTTCTTAGCCGCAGGAGAAAAAACAGATAAAACTAAAACTGTTTGTCCTGTAAGTTGGTTGGTTAGAATCTGGATGGAACATCAGCGCAGTGGGTTTGTAATCACCACCATTTTAACCAAACTTATGTCAGAAGCCAAACCCTTTGGTCAAACTGAGATGTGAAGATAAAGATGCATAGAAACTATCTCCCCCCTCCCCCCCTCTCTCTCTTTCTCTCTCTCTATCTCTCCCTCTCATTTATACCCTTTAGTGTTTCTCTCCCCCTTGCTCACTTTGGTGTCTCTCTCTCCCTCCCTCTCTCTCTGATATCTCTCTCCTCCTCCCTTCCCCTCTCTCTCAATCCCCCCTTCCCTCTCACTCACTATCCCCCTCACTTTCTCTCTCTCTCAGGTCTCTTTTTACTCCATCTCTCTCCCACTTCCTCCCTCTCTCTGGTCTCTTTCCCCTTCCTCTCCTCTCCCTCCTCCTCTCTCTATCTCTGTCTCTCTGGTCTTCCGTCCCTCTCTCTCTCCCCCTCCCTCACTCTCTGGTCTCTCTCTGTGGGCTGTTCCCTGGACACAGTGCAGCAGGTGGGGGACAGGAGGGTCCTGGACAAACTAACATCTATGCTGGACCATGACTGTCACCCCCTGCAGGACACTCTCTCTGCTCTGGAGAGCAGCTTCAGTGACAGACTAATTCACCCTCACTGTGTGAAGGAGAGGTTTTGGCAGGTCTTTCCTTCATCTATAAATAAGTAGATATTGCAATCATGTGCATTGTGCAATGCTGCAACATCAAAGTGTCCACACAAAAATTTAGTCCAGAATGTGCGCTGCAACATTGAAATTTCCCCTCTGTGGGACAATTAAAGGATCTCTTATCTTGTCTCCCCTTCCCTCTCTCTCTGGTCTCTCTCTCCTCCTCCCTTCCTCTCTCTCTCCCTCCCCCCTGCCCCTCTCTCCCTCTTAATCTCTCTCTCTCCCCCTCCTTCTCTTTCTCCCTCTTTCTCTCCCCCCTACTCGCTCTCTCTCCCCCCCCCCCCCCCTCTCTCTTCCTTCCTCCCTCCCTTCTTCCCGCCGTCTCTCTCCCTCCCTGTCCCTCTCTGGTCAGTCTCCCTCCCTCTCTCTCACATATAAAGTCTGTCCTGTGAGTGTGTAGCAGTCAGAGTGACTGTAACTCACACAGAAGCAACAAATGAGGAGCTAAGAAAACCATGCGCAGACCATCAACCGACCAGCACCAGCGCACTATGGACAGAGAGCAGTACAAGAAAGGCAACATGTGAGTAACAGGGGATGTACCAGAGGAGACCAGGGACCAGGGGAGACCAAAATGCTCCAAACTTTTGTGGAACATTTTGAATGAATAACTATTAACAATATTGTTTTACCAAGTTTAAAAAAGTTGCTAGTTTAGGTCGGTCGTCATTGTTGGCTTTTCTTTAGCATTAATGGCTTTACAAATACTTTTGTCAACCGCTTTGTAGGATCTCTCTGGATTCTGCAAATGTATTCTGCAGATTTAAAGCTGGGGTGTGTAACTTGTGTGTTCTAAGTCGCTCATGTTGTTGATTCCAATTATTGAGTTTTCTCGTCTCAACTTTCTGTCTTCATCTTATCACAAAAACTTTTATCTTTTGATTTGTTAAAAAAAGCCCTTTTCGTCTCTGTTTGACAGTTTGTGCTGAGAGTGTGCGTGGTCCTCTCTTTTTCACTTTTTGAAAATCTGATCTAAAGTTGTGACAAAGACTGAGACATAAATGTGAAAAATAGCGATAGAAGCAGATATTACAAATGTAGCTGTCTTCATGTGGTTTTCAAAGTCAGGTGCCTCAGCTTTAAGCTTGTTTTCTAAATATTATATGTATTGAGAAATAGTGTTTTGTTACTTTTGTGTGTTTTTTAAGCTCCCTGGGTTGCGTCTAAAAATACATTTGCGTTGGAAATATCAATAGTATTTATCATTACGGTTGTCATGACAGTAGAAGTGAGTGAGTGAATAGGAGTTAGTATCATTATAGTAGTAGTGTTAGTAATAGATATAGTAGTAGTAGTAGTAGCAGTAGTAGTAATAGTAGTAGTAGTAGTAGTAACAACCCTTGTGTGATTCAGTTGCCTTGTGGATGACCTGTGCTATACAGATAAACTTGTAGTAGTAGTAGTAGTAGTAGTAGTAGTCATAGTAGTAGTGGTGGTGGTGGTTTGTGCTTGAGCTTCATAGCAGAAGGTTCTGAGTTCGATTACACCTCCAGATTTTTGTGTGTGGAGTTTGCATGTTCTCCCCGTGTCTGCGTAGGTTTCCTGTAGGTGCTCCGGTTTCCCCGACCACTAAACACATGTACCATAGGTCTGAGCAGTCTAGAATGAGGGATGGCGGCTTTGATGATGGCGTCTTGCTTCTGTCATCAGCGCGTGGAGAGAACGGGAACTTTCTACTTCACCATAAAAGTCTGTGAATGCGCTATATAAATAATCATCACTTACCTGTTGAGAGGTCGAGCTACTACTTTTATAAAACGTAGATACGGATATTTTATGCAAATGTGAAGCAGTTATTTATTGATTTAAAAGATGCTATACCTGCAGGTGAAAGCCAGATCCTGTCAGATCTCTGAAGCTGTGCAGGACAGGGCCTGGTTAGTGCTGTGATGGGAGACCTCTGGGAACACCAGGTGCTACAGTGGGGTGGCTGCGGCTGTAAAGTGCTAAACTGTGTGTGTGTGTGTGTGTGTGTGTGTGTGTGTGTGTGCGTGTGTGTGTGTGAACGGATGGTGGTGTTTGTGATGACGTGAAATGTGTTTGAAATGAAAGGTTTGAGAAGAACGATAGATGTGACCAGGAAAGAATGAGGAATGCCCTAGAGAGGGAGAAGGTGTGTGAGGTGACCTGGCTGGTAGAGCACACAGACACACAGCCATAGACACACCAACACAAATAGGCACACACACACACACACAAACATGTAGACACACAGACCCGCACACACATATTCAATTCCATTTTTTTCTTGTGTCGCCCTAAATCACAACAGTAGTTTTCTCAAAGGACTTTACAAAACCAGTGAATTCAACAACACACATTAGAGAATCAAACAGTTCAAACAAAAGAAATACAAAAGAAAACATATTGGTGTTGGTCCATAAATAAGTGTTGATGAATGTTGATTGACAAGTGATGAATAGTCGCACAGGTGGTAGTAGATCGAGAGGTGGGCCGAGGTGGTTCATGTCCCTGGTCCTCCATGTTCTCGTCCTCCGTGTGCTCGTGCTGGTCTTCGTCTCGTGTTCTCGTCTCCAAATACCAGCTCAGTTTCTTCCTCTTTTTTTCGGCAAAGTTGACAGTTTCAGATGGAGTTCCTCTTAATCCTGTGACTGTTTATTCTGAGACTTAATCCTTTTCCAAACACGGCGTATAGAGGATCTCTGGGTGTCGACTCCGGATCTTAAGGTTTAAGGTGGAAAATGTCAACACGCGGTCATAATGAGAAACGTTTTAAACTTTTATTCATCCATGATTCTCTGTTTACTACAACGCTGCTGCTGCTGATGTGAATTTAAGGTTAGATTAGGGTAGATTCCATTTGCAATGTTCAAAACAAGAACAATGTGGCCACAGTAGTAGTTTATCACCAATGTGTTTGGAGTCAAAGAAAAAGGATGTGAAGCGTTTTTGAGTGTCCTGAAAAGCGCACTCTAAAGCCTATGCAATATTTTGATTATCTTTTCAAAACAAGTCAGACTTTTTTGGACTAATTTTTCATCACTTTTTGCAGTGTGTGAGGCTGTACGCTCTTGCTTGTATATACATATATATCAAGGTCTCTATTAAGGTCTAATGCCGATCTCTCCTACAGCCTCTGGTCTCATGCTGATCTCTCCTACAACCTCTGGTCTCATGCTGATCTCTCCTACAGCCTCTGGTCTCATGCTGATCTCTCCTACAGCCTCTGGTCTCATGCTGATCTCTCCTACAGCCTCTGGTCTCATGCTGATCTCTCCTACAGCCTCTGGTCTCATGCTGATCTCTCCTACAACCTCTGGTCTCTACAAGCTGAAATACACAACAATATTCACCCACATAAAACTGAAGAATAGTCTGCTTTTGCTCCCGGAATCTGCATCTGTTGAGGACCGGCATAACACGATAGAAAGACAGGAGAGGACCAGGATAACATCAGGAGAAAGACAGGAGAGGACCAGGATAACACGATAGAAAGACAGGAGAGGACCAGGATAACATCAGGAGAAAGACAGGAGAGGACCAGGATAACCCTGCCATGTGTGTATAATTCAAACTATAGATTTATAGATAGAAACGTACACTGATATTTAATTATGAAGTTTTGCAGCTAGCTCTGTCTATACTTTGTCTCTTATTACTGTCCTGTATGTGCACTGCAACATTGAAATTTCCCCAGTGTGTGACATATTGAGATTCTCTTGTCTTAATCTGAGCAAAGTCTGACCGTGTTAAAACAAGATTCACCATTGGGACATAGACATTTACCTTAATTTCAATAATTGTTGCTTATTTTCTCATTCCAAGGGAGACATTTCTTGTTTCTTTTTAAAACAGGATGATTTTGCTTTGTCTCATTGGTAAATCTGTTTTTAAGGCGGTCACAATGTGCTCAAGTGAAGATACATTTAGCCAAATTTGCAGAGTATCGTTGGGTATAATGCCCATCTGATGACACCCTTGTGGGTACATCTGCCATTGTTCTTTATTTGTTCAAAAATGTATTTATAAATGTATTTGTTGCTTCTAAACACTCTACTGTAATCTCCATTTGCTGCTAAATGTTTATGATATTGTATTTTGTAGATTGTGACTTGGGACATATTGCTAACTTTTTATTGAACTATATTTAATGTGTATGTTTAATTATTTAATGATGATGTATTGTTACTACAGATGGAAAGTAGCATGGAGCTAAATCACTGCACATAACACTAAACTTAAAAAATATTGGTTGCTATCTTTGCGTATTTGACTTTATAGTTACCTCGCGGCCTCTACTCCCCATCACAGAAGTCTCAAAGATGCTAGGATCAATAGTTTGGATAGTTTCTCTGCTCTAGGACCCTCTCAGCATCAAACTAATATTTGATCCTGAGCTAGAACGGTGCTCAGAAGTGAAGATAAAACAACTTGATTAAAGCTGTTATTATCTCATGTTTTATCACTTTTTGCAGTGTAGTAAATAGATTTTTGAACAATATTCAAATTTTTGACTTTCACATGTGCATTATAATTATGCCTCGCTTTTTTGGGACACTCAAAGGTGCTTCACATGAAATGACTCATACACACTGGTGATAAACTCCCACTGTAGCCACAGCTGCCCTGGGGCACACTGACAGAAGCGAGGTCGCTGGTTCAACAGGCTGAAGTGTCTTGTTGTTGGTGAATGGTTCATTTCTACTGTTTGATTTTGTCATTTGTATTTGTAGTATGTAGACTTCTGAAGCTAAGCAGAACAGGGCTTGGTTAGTACTGTGATGGGAGACCTCTGGGAACACCAGGTGCCACAGTGGGGCAGCTGCGGCTGTAAAGTGCCAAACTGTGGTTGTATGAGTGAGTGAATAATGAGAAGCGTATAGGAAACTGGTGCAATATAATAATAATAAATATTGGATCTACAGAAAATAATAGATTAAATAAAGTAAATATTGTTAGTATCTATGACATTTAATCTACATATTTCAGTTATGATTCCCTATGGTTCCCTAACCATGTCCGAGTAGACTTTGCCGTGGCTAACCCTCTATAGCATGTATGTATGGTGTGCCAAACAGGCTGTAAAACAGCTGCAGTACATTCAAAATGCAGCAGCTCGAGTCCTGACTAGAACCAGGAAGTACAATCACATTAGTCCAGTCCTCAGGTCTCTGCACTGGCTTCCTGTGACTCAGAGAATAGACTTTAAAACAGCTCTGCTTGTGTACAAGTCTCTCCATAGCCTCGCACCAAAATATATTAGTGACATGTTAGTCCCATATGAACCAGTCCGGACTCTGAGGAGCACAGGGACTGGACTCCTGTTAGTGCCCAGAGTCAGAACTAAACATGGGGAGGCTGCTTTTCAGATTCATGCTGCTAAAATCTGGAACAGTCTTCCTGAAGATGTGAGACAGGCCTCCTCTCTGACAATGTTTAAAACCAGGTTAAAGACAGTTCTGTTTAACTGTGCATACAACTGAGGGATTTTATATTTTCATCTTTCTTTTTAATGTTCTGTGATTATTTATGATTTTAATGCTTTCTTGTTTTGTTCAGCACTTTGAATTGCCTTGTGTATGAATTGTGCTATATAAATAAACTTGCCTTGCCTTGCCTTGCCACAGTGCGTCATTCTTTGTGACTTCCTCAAATAAAGTTTATTTCCTCAAGCTGTTGTCAGTGTTGGTCCCAGTCACGTGTCTGTATGCAAAACAGTTTGATTATGGAAACAAATGAGCCATATTCAAAAACACAGCAGATAATTACATTTGGTGTAATTTGCTGGTGACATCAACAAGATTTCAATTCTGATGAAGCAGATGTGTTAGATGTTATCTTTGATGCTGGACATGCAAGCCTGGTTATCCTCGTTATGAGTCGTTATGGTCTGACCTCTCCTGTCTCAGTATACATACAGACCTATCCTGTCTCAGTATACATATAGACCTCTATCTCAGTATACATACTGACCTTTGTCTCAGTATACATATAGACCTCTGTCTCAGTATACATACAGACCTCTCCTGTCTCAGTATACATACAGACCTCTATCTCAGTATACATACATACCTCTATCTCAGTATACATACACACCTCTGTCTCAGTATACATACAGACCTCTATCTCAGTATACATACACACCTCTGTCTCAGTATACATACACACCTCTATCTCAGTATACATACTGACCTTTGTCTCAGAATACATACAGACCTCTATCTCAGTATACATACAGACCTCTTTCTCAGTATACATACACACCTCTGTCTCAGTATACATACTGACCTTTGTCTCAGAATACATACAGACCTCTGTGTCAGTATACATACAGACCTCTATCTCAGTATACATACTGACCTCTGTCTCAGTATACATATAGACCTCTATCTCAGTATACATACAGACCTCTATACTGACCTCTGTCTCAGTATACATATAGACCTCTATCTCAGTATACATACAGACCTTTACCTCAGTATACATACTGACCTTTTTTTCAGTATACATACAGACCTCTACCTCAGTATACATACAATACACACTTTTAAACGCACTCCAAGTTGTCATAGGATCAACCTGTGATACTGTAAAAAACAAATAGTAAAACAACAATTTCTTGCTTTCATTCTCAGTAGATCAGTCAACTTCTCTCACAATTTCTGCTTCATCATTGGAGAAAAACCATTATCACCACAGTCAAAAACAATGTATGAATTGTAAAAGTCCCATTGTTCTACCTACTAACCCCTTTCTCTTTCCCCCTCTCCCTCTCTCTCTCCCTCAGTGGAAAAAACTTCATGTGTCGGCTGCAGTGCATGTTCTCCCACTCTGCGAGCTCCGAGAGGTGAGCTGATGGACTGTTTTGCACATCTCACAGATCTCAGTTTAAAATAGCGTCTGCAGAGTCTTCCCATGTAAGGCAGAGGAGAACGTACACACAGCGTTCTGAGCCACGTGCGCTTTGACGAGGGCTTTGAAACTGGGAATATTCTATTAATACAGTTTGTGATGGATGGTTAAAAGAACTCAATTCATCCTGTTCTATTACTGTTACCTTTTCTTATCATTATTCTGCAAAGAAAGCAACTTTGACAAGAACTAAACGGGTGTCACAGCCGGTTTAAAGGAGACATAAGTAAATATCCAGAACATGTATGAATACACAGATTTAGGCACTTTCCTGATATTGGAACAATGTTAGAAACTCAAAAATATATGTGTCATTTAAACACTTGGAGAAAGACAGGAGAGGGCCGGCATAACACTTGCAGAAAGACAGGAGAGGGCCGGCATAACACTTGCAGAAAGACAGGAGAGGGCCGGCATAACACTTGCAGAAAGACAGCAGTTCAAATCGAGAATAAAGGATACCAATAGGATGCTATCATACATTGACAGGAGCAGTTGCTTAAACCAAACTTTACACAAAACTTAGTCGTAAAACCCACATACCACAACAACATAGAAACATCTACATCTCGCCTCAAATAAAAATAAAAAAGTGAATAAAAAGTGACATTTGTGTTTTAATTTGTTAGTATTTAGACTTTTTAAACAATTCACAGACTTTTTGTCGGCCATCTTGGTTTTCTTCCGTGAGACGCTCATGATGCACATTTATGATATGCTGTTTATGATGTTTATCATTACATCATAAACAGCAGAGGCAACTCAACTCAACCAGAGGCACAAACCGGCAGAACACCGGTCCTGTGAAGTCAATAGCACAGATATTGAGCTGCCAGAGCAGGTTTGTGGACATGTGTGATGGGGGACTTCTCACTCACTGTGAAGTGATCCACGATCGATCCACTTCTACAATATCACTGCATAGAAAAAAGACAAAGGGTTTAGTAGAATTTGTATCGATTGTGATGTATCGCACGCCCTACACAAAATACTTGTTATTGTGAAAGGATGTCCACTTTTAATAGTAATAATTCAGCAATAATAGTTCATCCAAGATCAGAACTGGCAACCCTAAACTCATAAAGAACATACATGACTGTTCCAATGTTGCATCACGGGCTCCGTTTGGTGATCTTTGTGGAATCAAACTCAAAATGTAATTACATTTAGATACTAATTCTCAGTGTTATCATTGTGGTTCCAGCAGCAGACTGACTCTGGAGGACACGCAGCAGTGGTCTCAGTCACTAGAGAAACTTCTCGACTCTAAATGTAAGTGCTTCATCTGTTGAAAGAAGGTGATATTAAGCTATGTTCAGGGCACTAGTTGTGAAAGGTCTTTAAGCTTCTGTTGATAAAACCTATAATGTAATGCAGCCGTGTGTTCCTCCGCAGACGGACTGGCCACGTTCCGCACCTTCTTGAAGTCGGAGTACAGTGATGAGAACATCGAGTTCTGGTTGACGTGTGAGGACTTCAAGAAGCTCCGCTCGTCTTTCAGAATGTCGTCTCGAGCCAAACGCATCTACGAACAGTTCATCAAAGCAGAGTCGCCCAAAGAGGTCAGACTGCAACAAGCACTCTCTCCATAAAACTCTGATCTGTAACATCTGCAGCTTTTTACCATCAGAAAAAACATTGATAGAATAAAGAATACAGTCTTAATACGACCATTCTTCTTCTGCTTCTAACTCCAGTGTCAGACTGTAACAGCTGCTCACAGCTCTCTTCAAACAAGGTTAAAACATCTGCAGTATTTTCAGAACGCTGCAGCTGGAGTCTAGCCTAGAACCAGGAAGTACCATCATAGTCCTGGTCTCAGGTCTCTCCTTCCTGTGGCTCAGAGAATAGACTTTAAAGCAGCTCTTTTTGTTACAAGTCTCTCAATGGCCTCGCACCAAAATACATCTGTGACATGTTAGTGCCATATGAACCAACTCTGAGGAGCACAGGGACTGGCCTCCTGCTGGTCCCAGAGTCAGAACTAAACTTGAGAAGGCAGCGTTTCAGATTTTTGCAGTAAAAATCTGGAACAGTCTTCCTGAAAATGTGAGAAAGACTTCTTCTCTAACAATGTTCAAATCCAGGATAAAAACAGTTCAGTTTTGCTGCATCAACTGGGGGTTTTTATCTTTTCTCTTTTAAAAGCGCTGTGATTATTTCATTGTTTCCATCTTATTTTTTCACTTCTTGCCTTTTGTGCGAACTGTGCTATACAAATAAGCTTGCCTTGCCTGTAACACAACAGCACAGAAGTCAATGAAATAAGCTCAAACCCCCCAACCCAATCCCATACGTTCCTCTGAGTGGAACCCTAACCTCTGCGTCTGTTTCAGATCAACATCGACCATCAGACTCGCGAACAAATCAAGAGAAACGTCAAAACTCCCACAACGCACTGCTTCGACGAGGCGCAGAAGATTGTGTACGGACTGATGGAGCGGGACTCCTACCCTCGCTTCCTCCGCTCCGAGGTCTACCGAACTCTGCTGGAGAACCTTTCGGCCGACGCGTCCAAAGGCTGAGGACTTGAGATCCTCTGAACTCAGCGAACGCACAACTGGAACAAAAACACTGGGAGCAAGAAGAAGGATCTGGGACTGAAGCCAGACCAGGGCGCCATGTTGGGACCGCGGAGGATACGGCGCTAGCACTGGACTTTCATAGAGCTACATGATTGAGAAGAGAAAAACACATCGAGCAGCTTGACGTCATGCAAAAAATATAGTGTAGTGTTAGTTTTTGAATGTGCAATAACGGCTCAGAGGGCGAGCACACACTGGTTGGACTGGTTTGTGTATAAAACAGAATAATCTTAACTACACACTGTCACTGCGTTTATGTAATTGATCTACTCTCTGTCGAAGCTGGGAAAACCACTTTGATTTGGTTTACGTATAAATTGCAAAAAGTGACAAAAAATAAGTCAAAAAATGCTCAAATTTGCCTAAATGTATCGTATTATAGCACTCTTTGGTTTAAAATTCGCTATAAACATCCAGCCCCTAAATATATATTTTCCTTCAACAAGGCTTGGAGCTGTCAATGATGAATATTGATCTCTACAAACATAAGATTGAGGCTAAAATGGGTACATTTCACTGTCATATTTGCAGACAGCAGAACAGAAGGAGAAATAAGCGACTCAGGTTAAGCTCACATCAAACAGGATTTATTATTTAACATTTATAGGAATACAATAAAGAAATAGTAAGATAATAAACTCAATTGACTCAATTGCACTTTACTAAAAGCATAAAAAGTCTCACCGTGCACCTTTATATATGACCAGAAACACATAATATGTTTAACCTTTTGGCGTTCACTCTTTGAAAAACGAAATTAAAAAGAAATTTTCTTGGATGTAGGACTTGAATCCATCCATTTTCTTCCCCTTAATCCATTTCTGGGTCGGGGGGGTGGCAGTCAGAGCTACACCCAGTACACAGAGCACCAGCCCCTCACTGATCCTCCTGCAGGTGGTGAGTCCACAGCAAACCAAATGTAATGTATTCTAACATTTTAACAGAACACATCATTAAGAATTAAATAGTTACATATAAAACAATGTGTTTAACTTTATTTTTTCCATGTCTGACTCAATCCAAATAATAAACATAATTTGTTTTCAGAAAAATCCAACCAAAAAACAGTGAAACTAAACTATTATAAAAAATCCCTTTTATTCTTTCGACCTTGGACCAGAATGAGTGTGACACCTCTGCATTAAAGGGTTAATGATGCAGACACAGTGTGTCGAGTGGTTTGGTCGTCTCTCTGTGAACCTCAGCCCTTTGGTCCGGAGCTTTCCCAAAGTTCCCGTCTGATCCGGCTCTTTGCCCTTTTATGGACGTCAGACAGTAGCTTCCTGGCTCCGCGTGGTTCTAGTCCGATGAGTTGTTCTTTTATGGCAGGATCTGAACAGGGCTCACATGTCAGAGGCTGCGGAGGGCTGGGGATGTCTTTGGTTTGAGCGATGAAGGGAACACCAAGGAGTTATTTGCTTTGAATTCAGATATTTTTGATGGATTTTTTATTATTGGAAACAAAGTAATTTAACAAATGCAAGAATATGTCTTTTCTAGGCTCCACAATCATGTCTGCAGCACAGATATATAGTAGAACAGAGCTCTCAAAACAGTATGGTTACAATATAAGGCAAGGCATGTTTATTTGTATAGCACACTTCATTCACAAGGTGACTCAAAGTACTGAACAAAACAAGATAGACAACAATCACATACAATGCTCTTCCTTGTGTTTTTAACAAGGTTTAGACAGTTTATTGCAGTACTCATTTGGAGAAACAACATACATGTATGATAAGAATACATGTATGAATCCCAGCTTTAAAGAATACATATAACAGTCTATGAGATAAAGTAAAGACTCACCTTGTTTTTTATGAACCAATGCTAACACCGCTACATCCATTAGCTACAATGCATTTTAGCCATTCAGGGCTAAAATGCATTGGAGCTAATTTGCCTGTGTCTCAAATTCAGATTCATTTTATTTACCATGCGCTGTAAAACCTTATTAGAATACATGTGCAAAAGTCCTCAGTGTGCACCAGACAAGTCCAGAGATGAAACAAGATTGAAAGTAGAGAAATTAAAAAAACTAAACTTCAGGAAACATTAGTCTAAAACAGTTTCAATACAAGTGCATGATCGGTGGCTGCCAGAGGATCAGGACTTTGACACATGATCCTAAATTATTTCATTTTGAGTCATTGCAGATCTATTTTAACGATAAATGTTTCTGTTATGTTCTCTAGTGTAGGGTTATACAGTGATATAGTACATTTTACATGAGCGTTGTCCAGGATTTTCGGTTTTTTTACGACTGCAAAATGAATAACTCTAAAAAAGTTACCCTAGTCTGACCCCGTTGCTACTGTATGTGTGTTCCCAGTGTATATTTCTTCCTGGTTTCTATACTTCTATTGCACCAAAGTGGACACTGTAGCTGAGTGGGACTTAGTGCTAGCATCGTTCACTTTACTACCTGACTGTACAGAGAGCGTGTGTTTGATGTTTCATGGGAGAAAATCCTGAACTTCTACTTATTTATTACGTGGCACAGTTTGTCGTTGGTTGTTGCAGTGTCAGATAAAGGTAGAGATGATTATATTGTGTTAACTTATTTAAATAATGGAAAGTGGTTACACCTTTAATAAAGAAATGTTTTTCCTCTAACGCCTGAGTGTGTGTGTTGTTTTGTTGTCTCTGAGGCTAGAATACTGGAAAGTGAATTGCATCTGTCACAAAAAGATTAGATAGATACAGTAGATAGATTGATCCGTCATCTCTTAAAAATGTCACACCGCTGTAGTAACTTTTAATTCAATTGTGCATAATATATCTTGCACAAAAAAGTAATCTTTTCACTTTTTAACATGTTGCACAATCTGAGTGATTCTATCTGTGCCAAATGTGACATGTAAATTTCTCCATTGTGAGATCAATAAAGTTTATCTTATCTTATCTTGAGCGTCCAAAAAAGCAGCACATAAAACAGATGCATTTCTCTTGTTATTATTATTATTATTATTATTATTATTATTATTGTTGCTTCAGGCACTATCTAACTGACCACTGTAGAACCCTGGACTGCGGCGTCTGCAGGAGACTCAGAGATTAAAAATAAACGTTAGCAACAGTTAGAGCTGCGTCCAGTGGAAACATTTGACGGTGTTTGTTTTGAATACGTTCCACACATTTGCATTGGAGTCAAAACGTGATGCGTGAGGTTTTAAAAATACATCTGTCAGCCATCAGATTGTGTGGACAGGCAAATCCCCTGGAAACACACACAAGAGAGAGAGTAAATAGGTAAATGTGGATCTAATGTGTTTGTGGTGAGGCCAAACTGTGGCCTGGGAGCAGAATGTGGCCCTCAGAACATTCTTTGTCGGCCCTTATGCTCCGTGCTGATTTGGGAGCAGCCGTTTTTTCTTTTTACAATCATTACATTTAACACAATTCAATGTATGTTTTTGTACAAGCCTAAATCACAAATTAAGTCGTCTCGGAGGACTTGACAAAGTAGATCAGAGAATCAGACGGTTCAAACACGGAAATGGAATGAGAACGTCCATAAATGTCCTTAAATGTCCATAATTGTCCTGGATCCTCACCACTGTCCATAGCATGAATAGTTAAAGGGGGTGTATGTAATATTTTTATGTAACTTAGAAAAAAAAGAGCGGTGAGTTATGAATTGCTTAAATCGTTGGTATTTCAAGAACTGTTGCTTTTTTTCTCATTCCAAGGGATACATTGATTGTATCGTTTTAAAACAAGATCTTTTTGCTTTGTCCCATTGGTAAATCCTGTTTTAAAGCAGTCAGCATGTGCTCATGTTTCTGTAAGAGTTGTTTTGCCAAATTTGAGCAATTTTGGACTTATTTATCATCTCTTTTTGCAGTGTGGGCACGTGGGGCCTGCTCCTCTCAGACACAGTCTTTATGTCTCCTTTAAGGTCAACTATTTTGACTCTTCCATGTATTACACCATTTTACGAAAGCACAGGGCAGATGCAGACCTCCACAAGTCTCCAGTCACTTTCATGAACAACAGTCATAGTGTGAAAGAGGAAATAAGCTCCTGCAGCTTCCTCTTCATCGTCTGAGAAACAGAACTCTGCGATTGCACAGACGGAGCGTACACAGTGTTTCAATCATGTGTTTATCAAACCAGAGTCAAGATCATTGTGAAAGTTTCACCACCGAGTGTCAAAACTTGCGCAGGGGAAGGGTCAGAGTTAGAACAGGAAATGTAGCAAAGTGATGGATGTGGTAAAGTTTAACGGTTAGAGAAAAGCTTTAAACGTCACAGTGTAGTAACTCTAACGAGGAAACCGGAGAGTGGATCACATCACCTTTCAAAATATTACATTTTTCTGACAAGTTTTATTTGGGCCTTTGACCGCTATCATCATGACAAATAAAGGATTGAGATTTCTCTCTTTGCGTGGACTGCATCTGTCATTTTCAGTTTGACCTTTATTTATGCGTCTGTCATGCATTCCTTTGACTCCTTCATTTATGTATCGCCCTAAATGACATAATAAAGTCCTCTGAGAACTTTACAAAGTTATTTAATCAATAAGAAGAGATCCGAGAATCGAACAGTTCAAACTCAAGGAATGCAATAATGATATACATAGGGAGTGGTCCATCGGGAGCGGAAGGACCGAGTGGTCCTCAGAGAGGAACCAGGCTGTAGATCCAGGACTGAGGCTGTAGATCCAGGACTGAGGCTGTAGATCCAGGACTGAGGCTGTAGATCCAGGACAGAGGCTGTAGATCCGGGACTGAGGCTGTAGATCCAGGACTGAGGCTGTAGATCCAGGACTGAGGCTGTAGATCCAGGACAGAGGCTGTAGATCCGGGACTGAGGCTGTAGATCCAGGACTGAGGCTGTAGATCCAGGACAGAGGCTGTAGATCCAGGACTGAGGCTGTAGATCCAGGACATAGGCTCTAGATCAAGGACTGAGGCTGTAGATCCAGGACAGAGGCTGTAGATCCAGGACAGAGGCTGTAGATCCAGGACTGAGGCTGTAGATCCGGGACTGAGTTTATGGGTGCAGGGCTGAGGTCCGGGAAGTTGTAGCTAAGATAAGATAGACTTTATTGATCTCAAACAGGAGAAAAGCTGTGACTTAATAAGCATCTATGCTATTACAAGTTAAAAGAATCAATGAGACCATATGTAAGTATAGTATTAGTATAGTATTAGTATTAGTTTTAGTAAAGTTTGACAGAATAAAAATCAGTTTCTCCGATCTGTTGTTGGTGAATAGAAAATCCTCAGAGTTAACTATTGGGCAATTCACAAATACATTGAAAGGAATTTAATTGCATTGAATTGAATTGTATTTTATTGAATGCTCTCCAGACGTTGCATCTGCTGCACAGAGGGTTTCTTCCCAGCTCCAATCTCCTCTGTGGTGATAACGTGTTCCATGAGGCCACATTATCAGCAGCTATAAGAGGCAGCAGGGGAGAAGGACCATCACACTGGCACCATGTGGACCCCTGTGCTGTTGCTGCTGCTGCAGACTGTCTATGGTGAGCTCTCAGCACCAGGATTTAGAACCAGGCTTTAAAATCAGACTTTAGGACCAGGCTTCTGAACCAGGCTTCAGAACTAGGTTGTAGGACCAGTTTTTAGGAGAGACCAGGTGAGACTCTGAGAATCATCAAATATGTATCATCTGTTGGTTTGAGTTGCAGATGTTCTAATTTTCAGAGGTTCCTCTTTAGAAGTGGTGAGAGGTTCAGTCTGTTGAAGTAGAGAAGAGAAATGATCTTGGTTGTTTTGGTGACTACACACTGAGTCCTGGATCTAGAGTCTCAGTTCTGGGTCTACAGCATCAGTCCTGGATCTACAGCCTCAGTCCTGGATCTACAGCCTCAGTCCTGGATCTACTGCCCATCCGTCCATGGGAGCATATCCCTCTCTCAATATGGGCTTCCCCGGGGTTTCTCACTTTTTCTGGTTTGGTTCCTCTCTGATGCAGGAGGGTCTAAGGACAGTGTTCCTCTCACTTCCTTCGGACCAAAGGCTCTTATGTGTTTGTAATTATTGCATTTCCGGTTTTTAAACCGTTTGATTCTCTGATCTGTTGCTGTTAAATCTGCAACTTTGTGAAGTCCTTCGAGACGACTGCTGCTGTGATTTAAGGTTGAACATTGCATGTATCACTGCATCAGCTGACAGCTTTGTAGCCAATCAAAATGTGCATTAGTTGAGAAATTGTGTTTCAAAATTTCAATCACCAAGACTATGGGAGCAGGACCAAAAGGGGAAGTTAAGGAGAAAATAAGTATTTAGTGTTTACTTTTGATCTGGAAACGTAAGTTTTCCGAGTGCAGTTAGGTCGTATCTGTAATATTGCTGAGAGCTTTAGGCACACCCCATTTTGATCAACCAATGGACATGACAGGAGTTGGGTCAGAGGGAGCTCAGTCCTTTTTCTGTTTCAGTGTTCGGCTGTGGGACTCCAGCTGTGAGACCCAACACCAACCGAGTCGTGAATGGAGAGGACGCCGTGCCCCACAGCTGGCCCTGGCAGGTACCGACCACACACACTGTCCAGGGCATCCGGGGGAATCCTAAAAGTGAAACCAAAGTGCTGAACAAAACAAGAAGAGAAGCATTATAATAGATGATCACAGTACATTAAAAAGAGTCCCAGCAGGAGGCCAGTCCTTGTCCTGACATGTCATAGATGTACTTTGGTGCGAGGCCATGGAGAGACAAACAGAGCAGAGACCTGAGAGCAGGACTAAAGTGGTGGTACTTTCTGATTCTAGTCAGGACTCAAGCTGCAGTGTTCTGAATATACTGCAGCTGCTACAGTCTACTACTGGAGACAGAAGCAGGAGATTAATCTGAAAGTCTCCGCAGCTCAATAATGAATCAATATTGTTTCTGGAGAAAAAATAGCATCCACAGAAATCTTGCTTTGATGTTAAGATGCACGGAGACATATGTCAACAGTTCAAAGGACGAAAGTAAAATAATTGAGATCTGGGATTTGAAATGCTTCCTTTGAACTTTAAACCTATAATTCTTGACATCACATCTTCGTTAGATTTTATTACACCCTCTTAAAGAATAGATTTGAAACACTATTTAGCTCCGATTATCACCCTTCTGTCTCTTCACAAACTGAACACCGATCCTTCCTCAAACCAACCTGGTACGGGCTCGTACTTCAGACTTGTGCAAACTGTGGTCTTGGGGCCACACAACGGCCTGATTCACGTCTCTATGCAGCCTCCGTATGTTTACCTCATACAGTCCACCTGGAGGCTGCTGATCTGCTGTTGCCTACTTTTTTTTTCGAAATAATTAACTAATTACCGAACTCTTAATAGTATAAATTGTTCAAAAAATGTATCTGGATATCAGTCTACAACACTCTGCAAACTCAGAAAAAGCAAACCAGAATTCTGAAACCTATGTTGATGACATTATGATTTGGGCAGAATACCTTCATATTGTTATGAGTTAAAAAACAAGACGAAACAACAGCCAAAGATCCTAAAGTTATGAACAAACTGTATACCCTAACCCAAACACAAAGAAAACACCAGGTAAACTGTAGTCATGTTTCCCTCTCCTTCTCTTTCAAATAAATCATGTTATAATGTTAGTGCTGTTTATGTTGTTTGCTCCTTGTGTCTCTTTCCACTGTTCTGTATTTCTCCACTGAGCCCCCATAAAGGTTCTCTTCTCCCAAATGTCCATCACTCTAGACTCTGTCTGATGTACTTCTCTGAGTCGCCTCTAGATGGGACAAAAACAAAGTCTTTTGTTGCAGATCTCGCTGCAGGTGAAGCACGGCAGCCGCTATCATCACACATGTGGTGGGACTCTGATCGCTCCTCGCTGGGTCCTCACTGCGGGACACTGCATCTGGTGAGAGACTGAGGCCCCGTTTAGACGCTTTACTGATGCTGCGTCTCCGTGTAAACACCACCTGATGTTGTGGATCCTAGACTGAGGCTGTTGACCCAGGACAGAGGCTGTAGATCCAGGACTGAGGCTGTAGATCCAGGACAGAGGCTGTAGATCCAGGACTGAGGCTGTAGATCCAGGACTGAGGCAGGACTGAGGCTGTAGATCCAGGACTGAGGTTTTCTGAGGCTACAGATCCAGGACTGAGGCTGTCTTCCCCACAGGCCTGGAGATGTGTACCGCGTGGTCCTGGGGGAACATGACATGACCGCTGCAGAAGGAACAGAACAGACCAGAGATATCCTCCGTATCGTGGTGCATCCAGACTGGGACATCAACTATGTGTCCAGAGGGTGAGAGACACTGCTGCAGCGCATCAGCCACAACTTTACCAACCCACATCTCTCCCACAGAAATGACCTGGCTCTGCTGAAGCTGGACAAGAGCCCCATCATGACAGACAGTGTGAGTCCGGCTTGTGTCCCAGAAGAGGGCGAGATCCTGCCCCATGGGTCGCCCTGCTTCATCTCCGGCTGGGGAAACCTCTACAGTGAGTGACAGAGACTTCAGGAGACGGAGACCTCTATAGTTAGAAAGGAGACAGAGACTTCAGGAGACAGAGACCTCTATAGTTAGTAAGGAGACGGAGACCATACACTTAGTGCTGGGAGGACTGCTTCAAATATGTGTATTATGACAGATACCCAATATAGATGATACTGCAGGGCCACATGGTCAAAAATGTAGATTTTTTTCCAAATGAAATCCAGATGAAGTTACAGACAACACCTTACGATATGTGTGTCTATTCTTAGCTCATGGGCCGATGCCGGAGCGCCTGCAGCAAGCCCTGCTCCCGGTGGTGGAACACAGCGTCTGTAGCCGCAGCGACTGGTGGGGGATCAACGCCAAGACCTCCATGGTCTGCGCCGGAGGAGACGCCAAGTCTGGGTGTAATGTAAGTCTGTGTGTGTTTTTGTTTGTCTGGGTGTGACGTGACTCTGTGTGTGTCTGCGTGTAATGTGCGTCTAACAGCAAAGGGGAAATAACAACTGTGTAGAACTGGCTGAATGATGCGTTAATACCATAAATCTTAGTGCGGTAAAAATCCGCTCAATCTCTGACTCTGACAGAAGCAGGTTTATGGTGAGTTCTGGTCTTCTCGATGGTTGAGCAGTGGGCCAAGAGGAGCTCAGGGACTGAGCTCCTGGCTGACCATTGTGTGTGTGTGTGTCTGTGTGTGCGTGTGTGTGTGTGTTTATGTATGTGCAGGGAGACTCAGGAGGCCCTCTGAACTGTGTGGGAGCCGATGGGAGGTGGTACGTTCAGGGAGTCACCAGTTTTGTATCGTCCACCACCTGCAACGAGCTGAAGAAGCCCACAGTCTTCACTAGGACCTCAGCGTTCACAAACTGGCTGCAAGAGGTAACTGTTATAAAGCTAAATGTCAATCTCAGCTCCATCCTTCCCTCACTCGTGACCCCGAGATACTTTAACTCCTTCACTTGAGAAAGGACTGCCCCACCCAATTGGAGAAGGCAAGGCACCATTTTCCGGCCGAGCACCATGGCCTCGGATTTGGAGGTGCTGATTCTCATCCCAGCCGCTTCACACTCGGCTGCAAACCGTCCCAGTGCATGTTGTAAGTCCTGGTTCGTTGGAGGCAACAGGACAACATCGTCCTCAAACAGCAGGGATGAAATTCTGTGGCCTCCGAACCGGACCCCCTCCGGCCCCTGGCTGCCCCTAAAAATTCTGTCCATAAAGACAGTGAACAGAACAGGTGACAGGTCTGACTTACTGCCGGCAATGCGAACGCAGCTCTGGTTCCAGTCATACAGGGACCGGACGGCCCTCAGCAGAGGACCCCGGAGAACACTCCAAATCCACAAAGCACAAATATCACACTGCTTTCTTCTTCTTCTTTATTTATATACCGCCTTTCACAAACCAGAGTCACAAAGCGGTTTACAATTGTTATTATTTTTGGGCACTTGTCCTCTCACTCCACACAGAGATGGGAGTGGGGTCGCCAGTACAGGAGGCGCATGCCAGACCTATTGTGCCTGTTTTTAGTGGTAGGGGAAACCGGAGTACCCGGAGGAAACCTACGCAGACACGGGGAGAACATGCTAACTCAGAAAGGCCCTGGTCCGGCCGGGATTCGAACCCAGGACCTTCTTGCTGAGAGGCGAGAGTGCTATCCACTCAGCCACCGTGCCGCCTCCTAAATCTAAGTCTCCTCTCCTGTACCTCGGAGCACCCCTTACTCCATGGCACTGGCTTTCCATGTGAATATTTAACAATACAAATATACTCTGATACTATGTTTTCATTCTTCCAGGTCATGATGAAGTATTGAAGACCTATCCTGGACGCTGCTTGCACTTTGCCGATAGAATCAATCTGTGATATCTATTAAATATAATAAAATCCTCTTTCTTCTGTCTTCTCTCATTGGCTGACAGTAGTACTACAGAACAGTGGAACTATAGGGCAGAGGACGTACAGAGAGTCAAAATGAAATAAGCTGCGTCACTTTGAACATCAAAAGTTTGTTTCAAAGCACTAGCAGCAGCAGTGGAAAATCTTTCTTATAATTTAAACCTCAGGGTTCAAAGAGTTGGTAGAGAGGGTTCATAGTTGGTAGAGAGACAATGGAGAGACAAGAGAGAGACCAGAGTGACTGGGGAGACCAGAGAGAGACCAAAGAGAAACCAGAGGTAGACTGTGGAGAGACCAGAGATCAATGATATTCAGATCAAGTCGGCCCACACTAAACCATGTTAAAGCCTAAAACATGGCTCTTTCTGGTCTCTGCACATGGTGAGAGGGCAGCGTCACTGCCCTCTGCTAGCAAACAACAGGACCTGCACCCCAGCAGCGCACCCTGGAGGCCCAGTGGAGGATCTGATCATCACCCCAGCTGTAAACACAGTGGTAGTGTTCATGTGGTCCACTAGGGGGCGCAGCTACTCCGTGCTGCAGGCTCAGGTCAAGGCCATGGTCTGATCTAATCATGTGTTTATATTAGGGCTGTCAAACGATTAATTTGTTTAATCGAGTTAATTACAGCATAAAAATTAATTAATCGTAATTCATCGCATTTCAAATATTGGCAAAATTATGCCATATTTCTCTGTAAATTGTTGTTTGAATGGAAAGATAAATGACAGCTTAGTGAACATATGTACTGTATTTGTTTGTTATAAATTTATAAATCCATATAAAATGGAATTAACATTATTAACATTCTGTCTTTTTGTTTAGACTCAGACCAAAACCATTGTTTGTTACAGATGAGGGACATTTCAAAACAGTCTGAAATTCAGAATGTCATTAAATCTGTTTGATTTGCTCAAACCATTACTTTTTTTGGCACAACTAACATGAACTGATGGTCGAAAGGAAAATTATGTACCTCAGCTTTAATTTAGCGAGTGCGCTTTGGGAGAAGACACGGAGGAGACTGAGGCTCCGCAGTCCAGCTTCAGCGCTGTACATATTGTGTGCATCGGTTACACAAAGACACGTACGCACACTAGAGAATAGTTCTGTGTGTGGTCTTGGATATGATCCCATTACGCAGCGCCGTTCGCCGTGATCACAGCCGCTGGAAGTGGGACCTGCTGTCCAGAGCGCTGTGGCGCCCGCAGCTACTCATGCAGAGTTCATACAGGAAACTACAAGTGCCCCGCGTTCACGCGTGTATTCTTTCAAAACTTGAATTAGAGGGCCTACCTGCTCTGTCCCCATCTTACACCCGCGCATGTGTCCGCGGCATTCTGAGTGTTATTATGGGACGCATGGGCATGCGTCAAATGCGTTAATTTTTTAAACGCGATTAATGAAAAAAATTAATTAACGTGCGTTAACGCGATAATTTTGACAGCCCTAGTTTATATTTAGATTATTGAAAGTCATAAACGGTTATGAAGAAGGACAGATAGTGATGATGATGTTTGCTCATTATTCCCTTGATCTCAAACAACATACACAAGGAAACTTAAGGTACTAAACACAACATGATAGAAACAATCACACAAGGCAATAAAAAAAAAATCACAGTATTTTATAAAGAGTAAAGATGGCAAGGCAAGGCAAGTTTATTTATATAGCACAATTCATACACAAGGCAATTCAAAGTGCTGAACAAAACAAGAAAGCATTAAAATCATAAATAATCACAGAACATTAAAAAGAAAGATAAAAATATAAAATCCCTCAGTTGTATGTACAGTTAAACAGAACTGTTTTTAACCTGGTTTTAAACATTGTCAGAGAGGAGGCCTGTCTCACATCTTCAGGAAGATTGTTCCAGATTTTAGCAGCATGAATCTGAAAAGCAGCCTCCCCATGTTTAGTCCTGACTCTGGGCACTAACAGGAGTCCAGTCCCTGTGCTCCTCAGAGTCCGGGCTGGTTCATATGGGACTAACATGTCACTAATACATTTTGGTGTGAGGCCACTTGTACACAAGCAGAGCTGTTTTAAAGTCTATTCTCTGAGCCACAGGAAGCCAGTGCAGAGACCTGAGGACTGGACTAATGTGGTCGTACTTCCTGGTTCTAGTCAGGACTCGAGCTGCTGCATTTTGAATGTACTGCAGCTGTTTTACAGCCTGTTTGGACAGACCTTTGAGCAGGCCATTGCAGTAGTCTAACCTATTGGAGACAAATGCATGGATAAGAATCTCCAAGTGTGCTTTAGACACTATGTTTTTGATCCTGGCCGAGTTTTTTAGATGGTAAAAAACTGCTGATGTTACTGATTTGATGTGGCTTTTAAAATTTAAGTCTGAGTCCAGTATTACCCCTAGATTTCTGACCTTGTTTGAAGGTTTTAGGGAGAGAGACTGTAGGTGACAGATGACGCTCTCTCTTTGTTTCTGGGGACCAAAGACAATTATTTCAGTTTTGTCTGCGTTTAGCTGAAGGAAGTTGTTTTGCATCCCTCACTGATCTGTTGGATACAGTGAAGGAGTGAGTCCACTGGTCCATGTTCTCCTGCAGTCAGTGAGACATAGATCTGAGTGTCGTCTGCATAGTTGTGATAGGAAACTTCGTTTCTGCGTATTAACTGACCTAACGGCAGCATGTAGAGATTGAACAGAAGAGGTCCCAGGATCGACCCCTGTGGTACTCCACAGGTCAAGATAACATCCTTCAGTTGTATGCACAGCTAAACATAATTGTTTTAACCTGAATTTAAACAGAGCAGCATAAATCTGAAACATTGCCTCCCGATGTTTAGTCCTGACTCTGGGACCAGCAGAAGGCCAGTCCCTGTGCTCCTCAGAGTTGGTTCATATGGCACTAACACAGATCTACAGGTGCGATGCCATGGCTTATAGTGTAGGTTTGAAAAGTGACTTTGAGAGGCTGTAAACTTGTTTCCTAGTTGGCCCTTGTGTCTTCATGCTCTCAGGACATCACGACTATTAATCTCAACCAGACATGAGCAAACTGTGGCCCCTTTCACTTCAAAGTTTGGACAGCGGCCTTTTTGCAGCTGTTAATACAAGGCGACTATAAATAGCCTCTGTTTTCAGCTTCAGGCAAAGTGGGGTCTTACTCTCCTGATTTGTTTGATTCCGTCTGCAGTTACTGGCAGCAGAACAATAGAAGTTGACTTTGTGCTTGAGGAGTTATGAGTTTTGCTGCAGTGATAAGAGTGTGTGAGCCTCGTAGTTCTGCTCATCACCTGAAAACGCCCTGTCGCAGATCCGGCTCAGAGCGGTTCCAGCTTCATTTCTTTATGGATCGACCTGAGCGCCGACCTCGCATGGACTGTGCCAACCTGGCAACGCAAACACCCTGACCCACACACTAATCATTCACTCTTGCACTCATTAAACACACACACTGACTCACACACACACATGTTTGGGTTTGGTTGTGCACTAAATTACTCCCATCTCCAGTAGATTTGATTTGAAAGAACGCAATAATGGAGTAAAGTTTTTTGTTTTATTTTATAGTAAGCCTAATATCTAAAAATGCTTTTACTTTATGTGTTTTATTGACGCCAATTTTCTCTTACAAATCTTTGAGGCTGAATTTATAGTCTCAGTCCTGGATCTGCAGCCTACAACCGCAAAGTCTGGCTCCTGTGGTAGACTGCTTCAATGAAATGAACAGTTGGATGGACCGACCCATCTCCCACCTCAGCCCTGTCCTTAAACATCACTCCCTCCGCCTGTAACCTCTGTGTCATCTTCATTCTCTCCTCACCTTCTGCTATCACATTAAACGAACCCAATCACAGGATTATTTGACCTCCTCACCATCTCCAACATCAAAAACATTCTTACTCCTCCTGATCTCCATAAACTCGTCAATGCCCTCATTTTCAGCTGGTTCAGAACACAGCCCTCAGACTTCTCACTGGTTTCAACAGAAGGGAGCACAGTGCCCCTGTTATTACAGTAAGTCTACACTCATTTTACTTTTCCTGCTTTGTTCTCCTTTGCTTCTTTTTTATATCTTGTATTGACTGTTTTTTATTGTTTATTATTATTATTATTATAACTATTATTATTATTATTATTATCATTATTATTCTTTTTATATACACTGTTCCTTCCATTCCATTCCATTTTCTTCCGCTTCATCCGTTGCCGGGTCGCGGGGGCAGCAGTCCAAGCAGAGATGCCCAGACCTCCCTATCCACAAACACTTCCTCCAGCTCGTCCGGGGGGATCCCAAGGCATTCCCAGGCCAGCTGAGAGACATCGTTCCTCCAGCGTGTCCTGGGTCTTCCCTAGGTCTTTACCACAACGGTCCGATACAGCGACCACATCACTGCGCACGCTGCACCGATTCGCCTGTCTATCTCACGCTCCATCCTTCTCTCACTCGTGACCAAGACCCCAAGATACTTGAACTCCTCCACTTGAGGAAGGACTGCTCCACCCACCTGTAGAGGGCAGTAATCTCTTGGGAGTTGGCTGGATGTTAGTGATTTGGTGAGCCTCTATAAGTGTGCAT